ATCTCTTGACTTTCTTTCCCATGCAATTTGAGATCTTCCTGGTTCTTTGAACACCAAGCAGTTAGTTCTGAACTGTGTTCTAGCTACGTTTCATATTATGTCACGAAACCTTGGGTCTTACTGAAATCCCATGGAGAATGCTGTGAGTTTTTTTGTTTTTTTTTAAGCAGGTAACCAACCTGCCATGAGGGAGGTCTGGGTTCGATCCCTGGGTTGGGAAGATCCCCTGGAGAAGGGAAAGGTTACCCACTCCAGTATTCTGGCCTGGAGAAGTCCGTGGACTGTGTGGTCCATGGGGTCGCAAAGAGTCAGACACGACTGAGCGACTTTCACTTTCCCTTTAAACCTGGTTAGGTTCAGCCGGGTAGTCCCAGACACCATCAGCGGGTTGTGGTTCCAGGCAGTGCGGGCCTTAAAGCCTTGGCCGGGCTGTTCCGACCCAGCGCGTGTGCGCCACCTAGTGTCCAGTCTGGAACCTGAGCCGTTCTCGGCTTTCAGTCCTGGGTCAGCGGATGGGAGTCAGAGCTACACGCTGGCAGCTTGCAGGTGAGCTCAGCAGTTCCCAGGCAACCTGAGGGCATGAATTGCCTGTGCTCCTCTCTCTGCCTCTCCATGGTCTCCCCAGTACTCTGTGGTACTACGGGACCTTATTTCCCGTGTGCAGACAGGAAGCTGGGAGTTTAATTTTCACCGACTCTGACACATGCCCCGCTAAGGGCACCCGTGAGGCGTCGAGAGGTGGGAGGACACAGACGGGAGAGTCACAGGATATGACCCCAGCGTCTTGGGGCCATGGTGTCACTGACTGGAGAGGAAGGCTTTGGGATACCACAGGCTTCATTAATTGCCACCGCAGGATTACTTGCAATCTGGATTGCCAAAAAAAAAAAAAGAATGGAAGACTTCACACTTTCCCTGAAAAGGAGCAATTCTCATTCTTGCCATTCAAGGCAGAACCAGAGGGCTTCTCTTGGAGATGTTCTGTCTTCAACCTACACCTACCTCAGGGTCTGGGGCTGCGCTGAGTTCAGCGGAATTCTGGAGGGAAACTGGTAAGCGCACTGCCAGGCTGGGAGGGCTCCGAGTTCTGGCCGTCCCCAATCTGTCTGCAGCTTCACTTGCTACCCTCCTGTAATAGCTTCTCTGAGCATCTCTCCAGGCTTTGCAGCTGCACTCAGCCCGAGAGACTGGGTGGAAGGTATGCCTTTCTTACCAATTCAGAACCAAAAAATCAAGTCAGAACTTCCCATCCAGATGGTTTTACAGGACAGTTCTACCAAACATTCAAGGAACAAACAATTTCATTCTTAATCAAGTTAATCCAGAATACAGAGAGAGGCTGAACTCCCAACTCATTTTTTTTTGAGGTTAAGTTTCATATTAAAATCTGACAAGGAAAGAGGAGAGAAAATTACAGGCTAATCTTAACTCATCAACATAAATGCAAAATCCACTATTAGCAAATGCAATTCATGGAGATATAAAAAAGATAATACACAATAGCCCAAGTAGGTTTCCCAAGAAAGCATGGTTAGTTTACAATCAGGAAAGCAATCACTAAAATTTACTGAGCCAACAGATCGAAGCTTAAAACATGCTTACCTTAATACATGCATACAAATACTGGAGAAATTCATCAATGATTCTTCCTACTAATGGTGAATCCTTCAAAGCATTCACATTAAGATTAGTAACGAGATAAGGATGTCCAGCTATGGTATAGGAAGTTTCCCTAAAAATGCAAGAAGGCAAAAGCGGACAAGAGTTGGGAAAGAAGAAACAAGACCGTCCTGCGCAAGGATGGACAATGCCTCGGGGCGGGGCAGCCCAGAGCTGCGCTCACGGGGCGCCCGCGGGAGGTGCAGAGCCGCGCACCGCGTGGGGCGAGGGGGGATGACGTGTCCTCCCGGTGGTCGGCAGCGAGGGCAGTGACAACCCACGCGCACCGCTGGCGGCGGGGAGAGGCAGAGGTGGCGGCTGCAGGAAGAGCTCTCTTCCTTGGTTTTCTGAAAACAGACATGGGACAGTGTTTGTTGCCAGGTCCTCGTACATAAATATGCTTACACACACGTGTACACATATATGTAGGTAGCAAGCACAAAGAACAATGCCAAAGGAAGCAGTACCACGTCAACAGAACTAGTTTTTCATGCCTTTTCCTCCTGTCTCCGTGCTTTATGCCTAGTTTTCACTCTTCTGTTGGGAAGGGCGAGGCCCCGAGGCACTGAGCCTGCCAAGCGTGCGGGGAGCGCTCAAGTCCTTTCTCTTCACCCAGGGGCTTCCCAGGGCTGCCAGGGAGGTGCCAGCATCCTTGCTCAGGAAACGGCAGGCTCACCTTGGTTTCCTCTAAACGCAGTGACTTCTAGAGCTAGGGTTCTGCTCCGGTAGAGCTGCCCTCTGCGATGAAGGCACCCGCGGGGGCCCTCGGGGCTGTGGGGGGGAGGGGCCCCGCCACAAAAGAAGGGGATAAGCTCTAGCATCGCTCTTACTGTGGGTCACAGCGTCCTGTCTTTTGCCCTGAGTCTCATGACTTCTGCCAGGCCCCCAAAATAGGATGTGACAGGTTGGCTTGTCAGCCCGTGAGTAGTGAGGTCCTAGGAGCTTCCCCTTGTGAAAAAAAGAAAAAAAAGTGAAAGTGTTAGTCACTCAGTTGTGTCTGACTCTCTGCAATCCCATGGACTGTAGCCCGTCAGGATTCTCTGTCCATAGAATTTTCAGGCAAGAACACTGGAGTGGGGTGCCACTCCTTTGCTCCAGGGGATCTTCCTGACCCAGGGATTGAACCTGGGTCTCCTGCATTGTAGGGGGATTCTTTACCATCTGAGCCACCAGGGAAGCCCATTCTTCATCTTTTTTTTTAAAAAATGTATTTCTTTTTCACTGAAGGATAATTGCTTTAAATATTGTGTTGGTTCCTACATCAACATGAAGCCCATTCTTGATGATTGCATAATCCTGCTTCACCTGATTCTAACTCAGTGAGCAGGTTTCTAGGTCATGAGTAACACCATGTATTTTTCCTCTCAGTTTATACCGTTATGTCAGCATGATACAATGAAACTTGCTTCATCAAATAATACTTGGAATTTTCTTCATTAAAAAAAATCTGTAACTTGGTGATTTTTAAGCAATTTTCTTCAGATAAGTCCTCAAGAATGAAGTTAAGATATTAATTATGAAGTTAAAATGTAACTAATATTTTCCTCATAAATTCTCATTACTTCCAGAAAGGAGAAACAGCAAGGGTAGAAGAAAACACAGCTCCATACACGTATCTGTGATGAAAAATCACCGTAGTGGAGAATGAACTCTGTGAAAGCACAAGACAGCATCATGGGACGTGAATCCAGGGGTCTCCAGAACTGCCTCTGAAGATGTGGAAAGGCTTGACTTGACTGGAAAATATCAGTCACCCTAATTCAAGGAAGCCCCTGACCCTGTGGGTTATTGATCATGAAGCCTTTACGTGCAACATGAAATGGGAGCCGTCCTGGTGCTGCCAAGACAGCTGGACCGTAAAGAAGGCTGAGCACTGAAGAACTGATGCTTTTCAACTGTGGTGTTGGAGAAGACTCTTAAGAGTCCCTTGGACTGCAAGGAGATCCAACCAGTCCATCTTAAAGGAAATCAGTCCTGAATATTCGTTGGAAGGACTGATGCTGAAGCTGAAACTCCAATACGTTGGCCACCTGATGTGAAGAACTGACTCACTAGAAAAGACCCTGATGCTGGGAAAGAATGAAGGCAGAAAAAGGAGGTGACAGAGGATGAGATGATTGGATGGCACCACTGACTCGATGGACATGAGTTTGAGTAAAGTCCGGGAGATGGTGAAGGACGGGGGGTCGGGGGTCTGGCATGCTGCCGTTCATAGAGTCGCAAAGAGTCAGACACGACTGAGTGACTGAATTGAAATGAACTGAGGAGGCAGAAGGCACATAGCAGGTTAAATAGGAGTTTAACATAAGGAATATATTAAAGGAGCAATAAAAGAGTGAATGGAAGACCTCAGTCAACTCTCCAGGTGCCCCCGGGCCGAGGGACACAGCCCACCAGAGCACAGCTGGTGGGGGTTTCAGAGCTGGTGGAGAAGGTACACCTCAGGCTGGAGTGGGTTTGGAGCTGCTGGGTGAGCAACAGGCCACCCTGGGGAGCAGCACCCGAAACCCCAGGTGAGCAGGGGCCAGGCCCGCAAGCACAGGGGCTGCATAGACCCTCCCTTCCAGCCGCAGATGGCTGGGTGTGGCCGGGGGTCTGGTTCCCCTGCAGAGGGGGCTGTGCTGGCGGCGTGTTCGGCCCCCTGCTGGGAAGGATCCAGTGGGGTCCTGACACCACGCCGTGGACCCCTGGCCTCCCTGGAGACTGCCCCAGAGCCAGTGGCCCCCTCTGTGGGCTGAGCGCCTGGCCGGTTACTGCCCAGGTTATTGGTTATCGTCCTCAGAGCACTGCCAGCCCCTGGGCCCAGAGTGCATGTCATTTTCCTTCCTCTGTGGCGGCCTCGGGAACAAAACTCATCTGACGGCAAGGACCTCAGATGCACAAATGTGCAGCCCACAGCACAGACATCACACAGAGGACCACCAGCTGGGCCCCGCCCCCGCCACCACCGCCAGGTTCACTCAGAGAAACGAGCATCCCAAGGCCCCTTCAAGACAGACTGAATGCCCTTAAGCTCAAAACAGACACCCTTATGCAGCCTCGTCAAGCAGACCCCGAGCAGGGTCCGGCCCAGTGCACAGGATGTCCTGGAGTGACACCTGCGGCTTTTCTGCCTTCTGCCTGCGGCCGAGACCAGCGACGGTCCAGGTCCCACAGGGCAAGAAGGTGGTTTCCCGAGGCGGCCGTCATACTTCAGAATTCCGTTAGGCTCCCCCTTTCTGAGCAGACAGGCTTCCTCCTGGAGACGCTCTTCTCTTCGGCCTTTGCTCCATGTAGACATCCTGCGTCCTGCACGAAGCAGCACGAGCGTCTGCAGTTGGTTCCAGACGCCCCAGGACACGATGCTGGCGCGTGTCACCCGCTGCAGCCTCATCCTGGGGGTGCGTGGTGCACCGCATGTTGGAGAACGTGGCCAGAAGGGCCGCCCTGGGCTCCATCCCAAGGATTCATGGGGTCAGCGTTCAGCGGGTGTCTCTGGAAGGCGCTGTTCCTCATTAGCACAGCAGTCCCCAACCTTGCTGGCACCAGGGACTGATTTCGGGGAAGACAACTTTTCCATGGATGGTGTGGGCAGGGGATGGTTTCTGGACGATTTAAGTGTATTATATTTATTGTGCACTTTATTATGACTACATCATCCCCACCTCCGATCATCAGGCATTGGACCCCAGAGACTGGAGACCCCTGCTTTAGCACAAAGCTTCAAACAGCGCCAGAGAGGGGGCCACAGGGCAAAGTAGGTGATCACGTCCCAGCCAGAGTTTGGTCTCTATGTTCAGATTCAGCTCTTCAAGCTGATGACTGATCGTCCAGGCTGACTGACTGTCAGGGCTGACGGAGGAAGGAAGGTCAGAGCCCGGACGTGCCCTCTGGGGGACGGCCCAGCTCACACCCCTGTCTTGGGGAGTGGGGCCGGGAGGAGGTGAGCTCAGTGGGACCCGCTTGGGCCGGGGTGTCTCTGTCGTGCTGCACCCCTGGGAATGAAGGAGGGGAAAGGGAAGAGTTGGGTGAAGAGCCACGGTGACACCCAGCATGGGGTGTTCATAATGGACTGGGGTGGGGGGAACCCGGGGGATGGGGGAGAGTCATGGAGCCCCTCCAGGGAGCCCACCTGGTCCCCGCTCCCTCCAGCACCCACCACCAGAGGGAAGCAAACACCCAGCCCAGCCCGTCCCCGTCGGTGCTGGGGAGCAGGTCAGAGGGCCAGGCTCGGGCTTCCCTTGCTCTGAGTCACTGGAGACACAGACGCCCTGGGGCCCCACTGCTCTTCCACAGGCCTGAGGCCAGGATGTGTGGTAGGGGCCCACAGCGGGGGCTCCACGGTTCAGCGTGGGCTGCACCTCAGATAAGAATCAATACAGGGGCAGGTGCTGACTCTCTCGGGCCAGTGTCCACATGTGAAGAACACGAGCAGGGGACAGGCGTCAGGGAGAACAGAGACAAGGCGGACTCTCCTCCCACCCGCCAGCCTTGTCGGGCAGGGGGCCTGGGAGCCCAGGGGCCGCGACAGTGGTCCAAGCGGGCCACAGCTGGGTGGAAGGGACGCGGCTGACTGAGCAGCCCCAGCTGTGTTTGGCCTGGAGACTCAGAGCATCAACTTTGTGGTCCTTGCGGGCCTGCCTGCGTCCCCAGGACCACCTCCCCGTGGCCTCGGACATCAGTCACAGCTACTGAGTGTGGAACGCGTGTGAGGTACCAGATGGTGTATGACACGGAACGCCTGCGGCAGGGAGACATTTTTTCTCTAAAATACACAAGCCTGAAGCTTGTTCTCTCCATCCTACAGACACTGATGCCGAGCTGCCGGGAAGATGGCCCACTCAACATCCCAGACTCAGCATCTGGCAGGACCAGGACTGCAGAGTCAGAGGTCAGAGCCATCAGTGGTGGAGCACGTGCCTAAGAGTTTATGAGCATGCTTTGTCTTGAGTGGAGAAAGTCAGAACCTGTTCTGATGTCCTAAGTTTAAAACTCTGCTCTTTTTTTTTTTTTTTGGACCTATTATTTGGATAGGAAAGAGAGAAGGGAGAATGACGGAACATGAGGTCTTGTATTTACGAGAAAACCTTCCCGTGTGAGAGCTTCAAGTCACTTGTGACTTACAGGCTCATGATATCAGGTAGTGCTGTATTAATCAGCCATGTTGTGTGCGTACACATACTCCATGCAGATGTCTATGCTAGATGCTCCACCTTTTGAGGACAGCAAACAGAACCACTACAAGCTGTTGGGTCAAATGGTACTGGTCTAGTAGTCCCAGTAGTGTTGAAAGCCCATCTCAGGCCCATTAGCTTGGCCAGTCAGTAGCTCAAAGAGCTCATTTGTCTGCACTGGGACTGGAAATGGATATTCATGGCTTTGAAATGATAAGGGGGTACCACCAGCTCCTTTCCCCAAACCCCACTCCTGGACCTTGTTTTGCCGTTCAACACGTGGTCACAGCTGGATAATTTCTTACGAAGAAAAAGAAGGGAAACCTTTAGAGACTGGGTGTAAATATCAACTGTAAACTCACCATCTTCCCCGCAGCCCTCAGCTCAACGTCCACTACACAGAGATGGCACGGTGCGGCCGCGGCCCTGCCAGCTCAGTTCAGCCACCTCCGGGGCACTTCAGGGATCCACTGAAGGACACAGTGACTACCTTCTTACCTAAATCCAGACAAGCAAAAAATCCTCCTGGGGAGAAAGTTCCTCTCGGTGGTAATTCAAGGAAGCAGAAAAGCGTCAGCTGAGCAGGAAGGCTTGCTCAGCGCACACTCTTCACACACAGATCGTTCATACTCGGCGGTAACTCGCACGGCTCACTGCCCCTCAATTTCGTAACACACACAACTGGAAAATAGGACAGAGTAAATCATGTGCTCTCCTGATGAAACAAGCAAACTATTAGAAATCTCATCTAACTTTGTTATTTTAGGTGATCGGCTTTGTGCTCTTCTGAAAATAAAAGAAGTTCACGTTGTAGACCCAGGCTAACGGGGTACTCATTCTGCCCTCAGCCACAGCCACAGCCACACCCCGAGAAGTATCGACCTGATTGTAAGAATGGAATTTTATTTTCTTCTCCTCCAGTCCTGGACTCACCCCACAGCGGGAAGGACTGGCCTAAGCTCCCTGAGATTGAGACCCATTACACTCAGATGGCAGGGTGACCACAGAGGCACAGGGCCTGGGGAGGCCTGCAGGCTCTCTTGTCCCTTGCCTTGCTGTCCCAGGCCAGGTGCTCCGGCCTCGCGGATGCCCCGTGAGGAAGCTCGTCCTCGCGAGAGGCGGAATGGGAAATACCCCCTGTGCCAGGAGGCAGCACCAAAGGCCAAACGCTGGGCTGGGGGCCAGAGCAATGCAATTACATCATCAATTCTTTTGCATCAGACCTTAAAAAGATAATACATAACACGAAAATGTTTTGGGTCATTCTTCCAAGGAGTTTCAGAATCAAGCAAAGTTCTTGTCAAAGCTTTTCATCCTCATCTCCGACAGTCCATGTTTCTAAATCTGCCACCTCTTGGGAAGATGGTTTTCTTCTTCCTGAAGAATTTATTTAGGGCTCCCATATGGTTGTTGCAAAAGGGGTGCCTCTGTGAGCTCTAGCTTGTCTGCCAGCCCGACCCCTCTCCCGAGGGGTCGTGGGCCAGGAGAGGACGGTTCTCAGAGGAGGGGCGGACAGAAAGGCCCGGGCTGGCAGGGCCCTGCTCCAGCAGCAGCCTGGGCCACCTGCAGCACCAGCTTCAGGAACGGAACCTTCGTGGTCCTCCAGTTAATCCCATGAGTTCCTAAGTGCCCTTACTCGCTGGGCTCCCCACTTCTACCCAAACTGCACAAAATTCTTGGTGGTTTTCTTGGGGCTTTCACTTATAACCCCAAAGAGGTGAGGGGCTGAGGAGGTCTGAACTGCCCACCAGCACTGTGCCTCTGACTCGGCCATCCAGGGCGCACTGTTGGGTTTACGTCCTGCACGGCCTCTGGACTTAGTCCACTGAGACAGTCCCGTCTTAGATGGTTCAGAGCCCATCCTGCCCCCAGGACCCCCAGGGCAGGCTCCGAAAAAGCAACTCTCTCAGCTCATTCCCTCAGAAGGCTTTACAACAGTAAATACCTAGATTGACTCTACTGTTACTTTCTTAAATGATTTCAAATATATAGCTATCATAGACTGGTTTCTCAAAGGACAGTAAAGACCTGTGTGGCCCTCACATCACACTCCTATTCTGAATATTTCATTATCATCCTACCACCTCAGTAGAATCTCCAGATGAGTTTGTATTTGGTGTGTTTTTACATTTAGTCAAGTGATCTTCTGTGACATTCAACATTATGACTGTGAAGTGCATACATCCATTCTCTCTGTATCCGTGTCTAACTACTGTTTCACTTATTCACTGAGTTATTTCTTCAAATCCATTTGGTCACTGTTGAATGTCTCTTGTCTGCTGCTCAGGTTTGATTCCATTTCCATTTCTTTACATACTTTATATGCCGTTACTTTGTGTTATCTATCTCATAGCAGCGATATCTGAAGCTCCTGGGTGGTAAAATCTACCACCTGGTGTTTCTGCTGATTCTCATCACGTTCAGTCTCTGCATGTATTTGGCCATTTGAGGGTTTCTGTGAGGCTGACTTGCTCAGGGAGCATCCTCACAGGCATAAGATGATGTTTTCCTCTGGAGCAAATCTGTCGACTTCTTCCTCTACTGAGGACTGTCATTGTGAAGTGAAAGTCGCTCAGTTGTGTCTCTTTGTGAGTCCATGGACTATATAGTCCATGGACTTCTCCAGGCCAGAATACTGGAGTGGGTAGCCTTTCCCTTCTCCAGGGAATCTTCCCAACCCAGGGATTGAACTCAGGTCTGCTGCATTGCAGGCAGATTCTTTACCAGCTGAGGCTCAAGGGAAGCCCAATATTGGAGTAGGTAGGCTGTCCCTTCTCCAGAGGATCTTCCCAATCCAGGAATCAAACCGGGGTCTCTTGCATTGCAGGTGGATTCTTTACTAGCTGAGCCACACAGGAAGCCCAAGAAGACTGGAGTGGGCAGCCTTTCCCTTCTCCAGTGGATCTTCCCAACCCAGGAATAGAATCAGGGTCTCCTGCATTGCAGGCAGATTCTTTACTAACTGAGCTATCATTTGGGGCCACTTAATTTCTTTAGATTTCCCCTTGCTCTGTAGATGCGGGCAGAATTAGTCTCACTCCAGGACCCCACAGTGTAGGAGACAGACTCTTCTACCCAGAGCTGAGACGGAAACAGCTCAGCTTCCTGTCTTCCTGTGAGAAGGGCCTCCTCAGATGGGCAACCCTATCTACACAAGGTCTCAACTGAGCTGCCCACAGTGCACAAACCCAGGGTCTGGTCTCTCGCTTCTTTCTGTGTTGGAATACTGGTATCATGAAGTCGCTCAGTCGTGTCCGACTCTTTGCGACCCTGTGGACTGTAGGCCACCAGGCTCCTCCATCCATGGGATTCTCCAGGCAAGAATACTGGAGTGGGTTACCATTTCCTTCTCCAGGGGATCTTCCTGACCCAGGGATTGAACCCAGGTGTCCCGCACTGCAGGCAGACGCTTTAACCTCTGAGCCACCAGGGAAGCCCGACTGGTCTCACAGAGCACCGCTAATACAGCGCACCCATAACACAGGGTACTGGTATCGGCATGTGACCTGGTAGGTCCGTATTTCTGTCCATTCTGCTGCCAGCAGCTCGTTAGATGTGTGTTGTAATGGGGCAAGGCTGCTGTGTGTATGTGGGGAGGGGGGTAGGGGAGACAGAGCTGGGGATACACTTGGACATTTCCCTGTTTCCCACAATGCGTTTTTAGTAAAAAGCGTGTCTCTTGCGACTTAAATGGCCTCTGGGGGCAGTGCTGCAGGCGGCCTTTTGTGAAATCTCATCTGCCATCTGCCAAAAGCAGGAACTGGAAATCTCAGTAGGGTTTCAATCTCAACCAGAAACTCTGCAGAAGCACCCGTGTGACCCACAAACACAGGGCCCTTGGTGAGCCAGGCACGGCTCAGATTTCTTCTTTCCCCACGATGGACTCACTGTGGGGTCTTTCCCATGATGAACTTGCCGTGGGGTCTCTGCACGTCATTTCTCAAAAAGGGCCTGTTTAGTGCTGCCCCAACCTCTGCCAGGTTTCTGAACCTGAGTGGTAGTGAGCCCAGGTGCCCTGCTGTGAGCCCGGGCGATACCAGCAGAGAAACTAGCCTTCTGGGCGTCAGCCAATGGCACCCCTGGAAAGAAGGCTGGCTCCCCGACATTGCTGAAGATGCCAGCTCCGCACATCAGGCTAACTGGCTTCTCCGTGACGGAATATCAGTCAGGTTCCTCTGCAGACACACACGATGGCGCTAGCAAAGCTGAGACACCTCTGCAGAGAAAACCCCAAGCCCCCAACCTCAGAAGCAGGGGAGCAGGAGAGAAAGGCCCCGAGTTGATGACTGGCTTGTCTCCAGACATCGCAGCAAAGCCATCCACACCCTTTCTATCTAACGCAGCACGACCACCAAGGGGATGATCTTACAGATGGTGCTGCAGTTTTCTGAAAAGGGGATCTGTGGCTCATGCGTGAATATCTCTGCATGGAGAAGAAATCAGAAGCTAGAGCCTAGATATTGAAGGGGAGAACGAGGCTCAGGAGAGGTGCAAGTTCCCCAGGAAGTGGTCTCTCAATAAAAGCCACAGGACTGTCCCGAGCGAGCTGTGACCGAGCTGTGACCAAGCCAATGTCACCAAAGATGCTTCGTCGTGTGGATCTTGAGGATGGTCCACTGGTGCTGAAGGGGGCAGAGGAAACCTTGGAGGAGTGTGTCCAAGCTCTGGGCCAGTTAGGAAGCTCCTCTTGGACAGGTGTCCAGATACGACCTGTGTCCCAAGGACACAGAGGAGACTGGTGGCTAGATTCAAACCCTCCACGGGAAGGACGTTTGGTCATTCTCACACCTCTGTCCCAGGATGGGACTGGGCTGAGGAGACCCCAAGAGAATGAGGGTTGCTTCAGTGTCCTGAGGCCACAAGGGCAGTCAGTGTTCAAACCCCGTCTTTGCTTCAAAGTGCAGGGTCTCCTATGTAAGGCCCTGCCTGAACACCAGCATGAAGGCTGAAGAAGTTGCAGCAGGCACAGCATTTAAAGAACTGACATGTCAAAGATACAAAACATAGGAGATGGAGGAGGTTTTGAAGAAGATGCGTCTGAAAAAGTTGCCCAAGAACAGGGCCCGAAGAGCGTCTGAAGAAGCTAGTTCCAACGATTTGGAGAGAACGATCTCGAGAGAACCGAGGCTCAAAAGAGATGATGAAGACAGTCCGGAGGGGACCCTGAGAAGGCACCTGGGGGGATGGCCCCAGAGAGGGTCTGGGAAGGCGGCGCTGCAAGAGAACGTGGGGACGCTCTGAAAAAGCTTGAAGAAAACGGTGTCGAGAAAGTCAAAGAAATGGCCCTGGAAACCCATCTGGTTTGGAGATGACAGCTCTGAGAGAGGGATGAAGATGCAAAGGGAAACTGAGAGCATGAAACACTGTCTGGTGTGGACCAGGTGAAGAGGAGGAAGAAAACGAGGGTGGAGAAGGGCCTGAAGATGCCTGGGGGGCAGAGGGGAGGCAGACAGGGAGGAGGCAGGTGAGGGCGCGTGACCAGGAGGTGCGGCTGGGACCGAGATGGGGGTGGTGGTGGCGCCGCTGAGGACAAGGGCACCGTCCTGGGCGGCGACGATGGCCGAGAAGAGCAGGGGCGGGGGTGGGGAGGGGACGGCCCAGCGCCACGTGCCCACACCTCGGGCCACAGCCGGCCCCGGCCCCGGGACTCGCGCACGCGCTGGGGCGCCCTCTCGCTCCGGCCGCCGCCTCACTGCGACCAGCCTTAGGGATGGCAGAGACATGCCGAGGAGCGGCTCAAGTAGCACCCACACTCACGGTCTAAGAGAAACGACACAAGGAGTGCACAGAGGGCGCCGCAACACAAGCTGCGAACAGATGACATTTTCCCCTGGAAACAGGGATCCAAGTCGCACTGCAGAATAAGACAAACATCTAACAAATCCGGTTCTGTGCCAAAACTACAAACACTACCTGCGAAGGCTGAATAAAGGAGAAGGAAAGGTATTAGAAACGAAAGGCAAGCTTGGGAGAAGGATCACTCAGGAGAGAATCTGGGACAGCCAGTGGGGGACAGGAGCCGGCCCGCAGGACCCTGGAGACACAGTCACACCCTGGCTGTCGTGACATCCTTTATTACATGCGCCTGCGTGGCATTACACGTGTCACATCTCCCGCATGGCCCCTGCAGTGTGGCATGGCCCCCATCACTGCCCGAAGTACCACGGGGGCGAGCAGTGGATGGGCTCCTCCTCCCAGAGGGTCTTCAGCCTCTGCGCCCAGGAGGCCACCATCTTCTTTCTTTCTTCTTCGGACGCCATTTCAGGACCAAAACTGATCTGAGGGGCGAGGACTTTAAATCCACAGAAGTGCAGCGTGCCGTGCTACAGCCGCAGAGAGAGGAGAGCGGTGAGAGGCCGCCCACTGCTCAGTCGCCCAAGGGGAAACGTGTGCAGCTGACCCCCAGGGAGTTCAGAGAACCTCTACCACTACTGGGGAGCCGAGAATGAGGGCGCTGCCCCGGAACCTCAGGACCTGGCCACTCTGGGGGGCAGGGAATGCTGGGCGGCTCTAACTGACATGGCTCTCTAATCTCTGCTGCTGAGTCACACACTAAGTTTTATGGTTTTGATTGGTTAGGTAAATTATGGCAACTCATGAAAGTGAAAATCACTCAGTCGTGCCAGACTCTGCGACCCCATGGACTATACAGGCCAGAATACTGGAGTGTGTAGCCTATTCCTTTTCCAGGGGATCTTCCCAACGCATGGATTAAATCCAGGTTTCCCACATTGCAGGCAGATTCTTTACCAGCTGAGCCAAAAGGGAAGTCCAAGAATATTAGAGCGGGTAGACGTTCCCTTTTCCTGGGGGTCTTTCCGACCCAGGAATGGAACCAGGGTCTCCTGCATTGCAGGTGGATTCTTTCCCAGCCGAGCCACCAGGGAGCCCTGGATGTTATTCCCGCTAAGCGCGCCACCGTGGAAGGCTGCTCAAGACATGCATCAGGTGTAAACAATAAGCGATGTGAAGCAGTGGATGCATGCGACAAGCGCTCAGGGCTGGTGCACTGGGATGACCCAGAGGGATGGCATGGGGAGGGACGTGGGAGGGGGGTTCAGGATGGGGAACACGTGTAGATCCATGGCTGATTCATGTCAATGTATGGCAAAAACCACTACAATGTTGTAAAGTAATTAGCCTCTAATAAAAATAAATGAAAAAAAAATATGAAGCAGTATTTGTGGAGCACCGTTCATGTAAAAAAAGAAATATGATAAGCTGAGTCCTAAAATGTACACGTCCAGGAACACAGGGCCCTCCCTGGTCCGGCCAGTCCAGTCCGTGCTCTCCGTGCAGGGCCCCTGGGCGCGAGCCCTGGTGAGCGTGCCACGGCTGAGGAGTCTGCATGCCCTGGCGGAGACCTGGCTCAGCCAGATAAATGCGTGGATACACGTTTTTTAAAAAGAATATACTGGGCTGTAACGAAATACATTAAATCACTGAAAGTGACTGTCTTTAAGGGGGATTAAGAGAACAGAGTCAGACACGACTGAAGTGACTCAGCAGCAGCAGCAGCAAGAGAACAGAGTTTCTATTTTTTATAGTCTCTCTGTTCCCATACGTACTTTTACAAACGGAAACAAAGGTGAAGAGCTTTTAAATGCAGGGAGCCCATGACACGCACGGAGCCACCTCAGGGCTCCGGTTCACTCAGAGCGGACACCGGCCAAAGGGCTCGGCGCGGCCTCTGGCTAAACAGTATCAACGGTTCTCATAATCACAGCGTTTTCTCCATCAGCCAGCCTTTCCAGGGCTGCCAAGTAAAACATCCAAAAGGCTAAGAGGTTATGATATCCTCTTTCCAGGGGAGTCAGCACGGCCTGGCCTTCAGGCCCCCCTCCCACTCGGGAGGAGCTAGGAGAGCTGTGTGTGTGGGGGGGAGGGGCTAGGAGAGCTGTGGGGGGGCGGAGCTAGGAGAGCTGTGGGGGGGCGGAGCTCGGAGAGCTGTGTGTGGGGGAGGAGCTAAGAGCTGTGTGTGTGGGGGAGGAGCTAGGAGAGCTGCGTGTGGGGGAGGAGCTAGGAGAGCTGTGTGTGGGGGAGGAGCTAGGAGAGCTGTGTGTGGGGGAGAGGAGCTAGGAGAGCTGTGTGTGGGGGAGGAGCTAGGAGAGCTGTGTGTGGGGGAGAGGAGCTAGGAGAGCTGTGTGTGGGGGAGGAGCTAGGAGAGCTGTGTGTGGGGGAGGAGCTAGGAGAGCTGTGTGTGGGGGAGGAGCTAGGAGAGCTGTGTGTGGGGGAGGAGCTAGGAGAGCTGTGTGTGGGGGAGAGGAGCTAGGAGAGCTGTGTGTGGGGGAGAGGAGCTAGGAGAGCTGTGTGTGGGGGAGGAGCTAGGAGAGCTGTGTGTGGGGGAGGAGCTAGGAGAGCTGTGTGTGGGGGAGGAGCTAGGAGAGCTGTGTGTGGGGGAGAGGAGCTAGGAGAGCTGTGTGTGGGGGAGAGGAGCTAGGAGAGCTGTGTGTGGGGGAGGAGCTAGGAGAGCTGTGTGTGGGGGAGGAGCTAGGAGAGCAGTGTGTGGGGGGCGTACCTGGAGAGGCCACAGGAAGTACCGGAAGTCTCCGTTGACCCCGGTCTTGGAGTACATGCTGGCCGTGCCGGCCGTGGTCAAGGACAGGATGGCCAGTTTACCCTGCAGAGGACAGCACGGGATCGGGCGTGGACCCCAGGAGGGGTCGTCTATAGTGACTAGATGGAAACTGAGGCCAGCTCCCCCACCCCTCCCCTAACGGACAGAGACACACTCCCATCTCTGGCCCAGCGGCAGGCGACAGCGACATCCAACGGGGCAGGGGAGGGACAGCTAGAGCGAGTGGGCCGGATGGACAGTGCTGACAGGCCCGATCCTGGGGGAGTGGGCTTTGGGGTCGCAGGTGCAGGGGGGCGGCTGGGAGGGTGCACGACGCCTGCGGGCAGCAGGGCCGGGCAGCAAAGGGTGGCGTCTGTGCACGGCCTGAGACCCGTCTCATGTCCCAGGGCTTGGTTTGTGCACACTTGACTTCTGAGGCTTTTGGACCTTGAACATCGTCTGCTTGCATGGGAAATCCACAACTATCACATCCTGTGCATTGGCTGGGTCCATCAGCCGCTGACGTTATCCTGCTTTCAAGGAGGGTCTGGGCGCTCAGAGGCGAACAGGCGCGCAGCCAGGCTCCAGTCTATACTGTGGAGCAGGCGCCCTGGGTGGCCACCCCCAGGCCCCCGGGCCGAGCACGCCGTCGGACGTGGACGCCCTGCACCCTTCGCTGGAGCAAAGGGTCGTGACCCCAGGAACCATGCTTTCTCGCCAGTGTAAGCCTTGCACATGGATGGTCCTCCGTGGGAGTTTGGTTAACAAAGGCATACCAGAGGTGACTTGCTGAGATGCCCCTTCCTTCCCTGATGGGACAGGGTCCCTCATCCTGGGGGGTGGGTGTCGTACCTTGAGGAGGCCGTTGTCATAGGAGCCCGGGAAGTCGAAGGCAAAGCCCTGGCAGAGCACCCGGTCCATCCAGCCCTTCAGCACAGCCGGCACGCTGAACCAGTACAGCGGGAACTGTGGGGGAGCAGGAGGGGGCACTGGGGTGTTCATCCGCCTAGGGATTCAGGGGTGCCGCCTCCTCCCCGGCCTGGGCAGGCAGGTGCCCCCCGGGGCCGCACGTGTTGTCAGTTTCTCCCCCTGCTCCGAGGCATGTGGAGTGGCGGTGGCAGCGGGCTGGGCAGGCAGAGCTGATAGCATCCTGGTGGCTGTCGCAGGTGGATCTGGGTCCCTGTGACGTGACTGTGGGCCCCTGACCAAGCCTGCTTTGGGGCAGCAGAACCGTGATCCCAACATGGGGCCGCGGGGAGGGTGTGGGAAGGAGCCTGCCCCTCTCTCCGCCTGGGGTGAGATGTGGCATCCGGGAGTCGGGCCCGGGGGTTCCGAGGAGCTGAGCCTGACTCCACACAGCAGCAGGGAGGTCTCCCTCGAGACTGTGGTCCCCACAGAAGCCCCAACACCATGTCCAATGACAGCATCAGGGAAGAGAGACAAACACAGGCAACAATCGTTCCCAGAGGGGGAAGGGAGCCCGCGCTGAGGGCCGTACACAGTGGCCAGCAGCATCTCGGGAGAAGGTCTGCACAAAGAGCCAGTACCGCAATGAGAGGGAAAACCAACCTGGAATATCACCAGGTCGGCCTCCTGAAGCTTCTTCTGCTCCTCGATGATGTCGCTGCTCAGAGTCCGCTTCTTGTAGGCCTCGTGGGTCTCCATGCCATAGTTGAAGAAGCCGGGGTTGGAGAGGCTGCCTGGGGGAGCAGGACAAAGGCTCCCGCTCAGGAGGGACATCCACCGCCCACCAATCCCGCAGTCACTGCTGCCTGTACGCCCCTCAGCAGGCCAAGTCACTGAGACCTGACCGGGGGCCAGGCCCTGGGGTCAAACTGTGGACACAGAGGAGCAGCGAGGGTCCTCAACTTCAAGGGGCCAGAGTCCAGGAGGGACAGATGACCACATGATTAACAGAGCACGACAGGGCACGCACGGGCTCAGGGCAGCCCCATGGCACACGGACCTCGCAGCCTGGACGCAAGCGCCGCGCCCGCGTGTGCAGCAGGTGAGCAGGGCGCCCGGGATCCGACAATGGAGCAGGAGCTCCGCTGGGGTCCAGAGGACTGGAAGGGAGGGGCGCTCTGGCGGACAATGCGGAGGGGACCACCGGGCTGGCCTGGGGAGGGCCTCGGGGAGCTGCCGAGGGCCAGGGGCGGGAGGCCGGGGGCCGTGGGTGACCTGCAGGGCTTCAGCTCGGCAACGGGGGCTCAGCTCTGCGTGCATGTGGGTTGCGGTGGGGGCACATGGTCTATGCAGGAAACAGCCGTTTTCTTGATTCAGCTCTGGAAAAGCTGTGGCCTCAGCGATTCTGGAGCAGGCCTGGTGGAGGGGGGCGCTCAGGCAGCAGCAGGGCTGAGCCTGAGGCAGGGCGCCCGCAGGTAAACGTAAAGACGAGGCCTGTGGTGGGTTCCTGTCCAGCAGCACGACTTGCCCTAAGCACTGCCCAGTGTTAACAGCGGTCACTGGCAGTTGAGGGTCTCCTCGTACCTCGCTGCGCTCCGACCTCATCATAACAGGCTGTTTCTACCTTTCATAACAACACGAGGGGCTGGGTAATTCCCAAGTGACCAGAGAGGAGTGGGGGGCTCAGGGTGGCCCCCAGCACACAGGCCTGCAGGGCGGCCCGAGGAGAGCCGGCCCCGCCCTTGGGTGCCACAGCCGAGAGCATCCCACGGCCTGACCTCCCTGGGCCTCGCCTTCACTGGGAAGCTCGGCTGGGACCCTTCTGTGCGTGAGGTTGTGTGCCGACCAGAGACCCCGCGGAGGAGAGCCTGTGTCTCAGGCAGGCTGCCACCCCCCGGGTGTGGAGCCCACCGTGGACTCTGTGTGCTTCTGAGAGTGGTAAACAGACAGTACGTATGGATGGGCCACGTGTAGTCTAGATAATATTTAAAAGTACACAGCAAAGGCATGCAAATACTGGGGAAATGGGAATATTTTTGTAAGTGTGGGTATGGACGCACTTTTTTAGTAAGACAGGAAATCCAGAGTCATGCAGACAGACTGACTCACAGATTGCAACAAAAGATGGAGACGAAGCTACATCACCATGGGAACTGGTGAGTTACAACACGTACTGTGTAGTGACACCGTCGTTAACAAGACTCCTGAAAGCGCCAGTGAGCGGAGCACATCCCCATCTGTAGCTCTATCTACAGGGCTCCTAAGCCCTGCAGGAATCTGCGCTTTGTTAACATCTGGAGCAAGGCCTACGATGAGCCACACCAAAGAGTTCTGCCTGCTTGTCCCTGGGGCTGCAGGACAAGGAGGGTGTGTGAAGCGGCTGTTAGTGCTCACCCTCTGCCCACAGTTCACCACACTTAAAATGCTGTTTACATAGAGCCTGTGTCTTACCTGATTCCCTGAAAAACCAGTGGCTCCATCACACAATACTCTCTACCTCCCCAATTCCCACTCTGTTGCTTTTTCAGTGAAAAGAGCTGTTTGGTTTATTAAAAGAGAAGAAAGACAAGGAGAGGCAAAGATACAACCATTACCACCAGTAATAAATACTAAATCTGGGGTCTTGTTAACACAATTGCAAACAGGAGGAACCTAAAAGTACTTAATTTACTGGGAATTACTGGAAAGGCATAGGTGAAATTATTACTTGCAGATGGTCTGACTGTATATCAGGAAAGACCCAGATAATCAGCTTAAAACTACAAACAGTAAGAAAGTCAGTAGCAGCCGCATGCATGTGTACACACAGACATGCACAGATTAGTCCTCTTCACGTAGAGGAACAAAACCTAATAAGTAAGATTTATGCAAGATCTACATGAAGAAAACTTGTAAATACACCTGGAAGGTTGTAAAAGAACGTGAACACGTGGGGAACCACACCTGTTGCTGGAACAGAAAGAAGCGGCACTGAAAGTTCCGCTGTAAACTTAATCCGTTACCTTTAGAATCTTGCCAACTAAAGGCTGGAACTTGCCATCTGCCTCTATAGGGATTAAGTTACAAGCTGCTGTGGCCACTGATCTTCAACACCCCCTGAAAGGAGTTCAGGGTGGAGATCAGGAATGAGGCGCTCTGTGCTCCAGGAAAAACTAGAAGAACATGCCTTCAGATAGGTATTTTCACAAGAAGATTTTATGAGCCCAATTCTTGTAAGTCCTCATATCTTTAAAGCACTAAAATCATTAATGGTGACATCTGCACCTTATGACTAGCAGCAACCTGCCAAAATGTGTGCCTGATTACATGCACCCTCTTCACCTAAGCCCCAGATGTGCTGACCTTCTCTCTACCTCTCTGGAGCAGTTTCAGAGCCACTGAGAGGCTGTCTCCGGGCTACAGTCCTCACTTTATCCCCAACAAAGCTTAATGCACAACCGTCTTTCCTGGTGGCTCAGACAATAAAGAATCTGCCCACAACGTGGGAGACCTGGATTTGATCCTTGGGTTGGGAGGACCCCCTGGAGGACCCCCTGGCAACCCACTCCAGTATTCTTGCCTGGCGAATCCCATGGACAGAGGAGCCTGGTGGGCGACAGTCCACGGGGTTGCAGAGTCGTGCTCAGTCGCACGACTGAGCGACTAAGCCCAGCAGAACTGGCGTGTTGTGCTTAGTATTTTTTCAGTCAAGAATCTGGAAAGCTAATTCAAAAAATCTTTATGGAAAAGTCTAAGTAGCTATAAAAAATAGTAAGACAAATGAAGGTGACCTAACTCTATGAGATGTTAAGTGATTTGCCCAAATAGTGAAAGCCATGTGGTACTGAGTCATAGACAGGAAAACAAAACCAGAGCACAAAGCGCAGAAGAGAATAAAACATGTGGGAATTCAGGTCACAATAAAGCTGGCTTTTTAAGTCAAGGCAAATAGCTAGATAATGTAATAAATGGGGATGAGAGCTGGGTACGTACTTGGGGAAAAGTGGACCCACACCTCACATTGAAATAAATTCTGAGTAGAGAAAGTATTTAAAAAGTGGAAGCTGCCAAATACTATAACACCTTTAAAAAAATAAGCTTAGAGTTTATATGACCCAAAATGCACAGGTCTAAAGACAACTAAGCAAAAGTAAATGAAGAGGAGCCGCCACAGCAAAGCCAAAACTAAAAATGAATCAGGTAAAAATGCATTTACAATTCATATTTCAAACCCTATACCAGAGGCCATTTCCCACCTGTCTGGCTGGCAATCATCAAGCACTCAGTAAAACAAGGGCACGAGAACTTGTGAGCACCGTGGGCTGGAGAGTGCCCTGGTGCAGCGCTCACGGGAAGCAGTTTGATGTTGTCTATGAAGATTCAAAACACACGTTGCCTCTGCCCAGCAACTCCATTCTGGATAGCTCGCACATGTAGGAAAGCGCGGCCACGATCTTGCTGCAGTCCTGTGATCACAGCAGAAGTGAGCAACAACTACGACTGCGTGAGTGGGCACTACTGCAACCTCGGCACCTCCAAGACAGCGGGGCGGGGGCGTTTCTGAGACAGCTGGGGGGGGGAGTTCTGAGACAGCAGGGGGTTCTGAGACGGCGGGGGGGGTTCTGAGACAGCAGGGGGTTCTGAGATAGCGGGGGGTTCTGAGGCAGTGGGGGCTTCTGAGACAGCAGGGGGTTCTGAGACAGCGGGGGGGGGTTCTGAGACGGCGGGGGGTTCTGAGACAGCTGGGGGGGGGTTCTGAGACAGCGGGGGGTTCTGAGACAGCTGGGGGTTCTGAGACAGAAAAAGAGAAAGCAACACGCAAAGCAACACATGGGAACACATGTTCCCATGTTTAAAAGGCAGAGAGAAGAGTCATTAAACTGCTGACTGCTTTAGGTACACCCAGAGACAGCACAAAGTCACCCCAGAAAGATGCAGAGGTGGCGGGAGACCCTGGTTCCTTTGGGAGCAGAGAAACCGGGTGGCTGGGGGTGCGGGAAAAGCCATGCACCGCAGACCTTTTTGACATGAGAACTGTACATCACGTGCAGTGATGAGTTTTGTTTACAAACACTTTTTTTTAATTAAAAAAAATTCCAAGAAGGCAAAAAAACTCCTAACGATCTGATTTTAAAACGGGCAGAGGATTCCAACGGGTGTCTTTCTGAGAAAACACAGATGGCCAACAGGCACGTGAACAGATGTGCAACATCACTGACCGTCAGGGACCACAGCAGGGCCACGGCGAGATACGACCTCACGCCGCTCAGGACGGCCGCCAGTGAGACCAGACAGCCAGTGCTGGGGAGGACGTGGGCGAGAGTGGACCCGCGTGCAGCTGGTGCAAAGTGCAGCCCCCATGGGAAACAGTGTGGAGGGTCCCCCCAGGCTGGAAACAGAACTACCATCCAGCAATCCCACTTTTGGGTATTTACCCGAAGCAAAGGGACACAGGCGTTCAAAAAGGAACCTGCACCCCTGTGTTCACTGCAGCATTATTCACAATAGCCAAGAGATGAAAACAACCTAAATGCCCATCAGTGGATAAGGAATGTGATACGCACAGGGGGCCCGTCAGTGGGTAAGGAATGTGATACACGCACAGTGGGATTATCGTTCAGTCATAAAGAAGAAGGAAACCCTGCCATGTGCCACAACATGGACAGACCTGGAGGGCATTGCTAAATCAAATAGGCAGAAAAAGAAAAATACTGTATGATCTCACACATGGGAGAGTGGTGGAATCTTAATAAACAAATGGCCACTTCCGCCACCAAACTAAACAAAAAGTAAGTGAACTCGGGAATATAGAAAGCAGACAGGTGGCTGCTGAGGTGGGGGCTGGGCAACATGGACGAAGAGGGTCAGAAGAGCAAAGTGTGGGCCCCAGGCTGTCACGCACAGTGCACTGACTGCAGTTAAGACCACAACATGTCCCAACGACGGGATCGTGAAAGTCCTCATCAAGAGGGAAAAGGAGCGGAACTGTGTGCGGTGACGGTGACGAGTGTCAACTGGACTTACTGTGATCATTGTGCAATGGATACAAACCTCATATCCTTACATTACACATCTGAAACAATACAAAGTGATGTCAACTGTACCTCAGAGAAAAGACACACAAGAAGAAGAAAGTTAAAAAAAAGCCCAAAAAACCACAGAGCATCTATGACTCACCAATGATGTCCTTCCCCGTGGCCCTGGGCTCAAAGTTCAGGGCGTAGAGGTCAGAAACGGTGACGCCGCAGCCTTGCCGGCTCAGTTCTGCCACCGCCACGTCCTTTAGGGCCCCGTTGAAAGACCTGGGCTCTTGGTGTGCGTAGACGATGAGCACTTTCTTACCTAAATCCAGACAAGAAACCATTTCTCTTGAAGAATTCCCCTCTGTCAAAGCTGAACAAGGACCAAGCTGACGACAGGAGGCACACAGGGCTGAGGCTAGGTGAGAAAGACCAACACTGTTTACGGGAGACAGCCGCAAAACAATGCGCATTCTAAGAACCTAGCTCTATCAGTTCACCACTACTTGGGTTTACTGACCCAGGAGTCGAGTTACCATCCCCAGGAATAACACGAATGCATTCTTTTAAAGCCCAATCTGTTCTGGTTATCCACTATGAGATGTTTTAGCCGTGTTGCCTAAGATCAGCATTAGAAACTACTGTGACTAATCTTTCGTGCTAACCCCTTGTCGGCAGGTCAGTCTCTGACACACAGCTCTGCTTCCTTCCTCTCCACTGAAAACTGACACATAAGATATATTAAAAAAAAAAAAATCAGATATGAGTCCCGGGGGGAGGCAGGGTCTGCATGAAGCCCGGTTTCGGTAGAGAGCCTGACAAGAGGCCCCACCCAGTGCCATTCATACCAACAGTCTCTGAAGCCACACTGTCCTCCAGGACATTCTCCGAGGTCATGTACCAGTTCCTTCCAGAAGGCAGGTGTGGGGATGTGTTTAAATTTTCCGTGGGAACCTCTTAAGACCAAAATATTTAAACTCTTGATCTATATTATTCTGTTTAGGCCCTTGAGAAAATATAAATGTTAGTTTGAAGCAAACAGCTTTGGGGCACTCAGCAGGGTGTAAAGGTTGAACTGCATGACTGAAATTAATGATTAACAGTTTTAACTTCTCAGGCTCATTTGTTATAAAGGAACTTGGGGGCTTAACAGGAAACAGGATACAAATGAAATAGCCACACTGATGGTCCTTAACCAGGGAGACTGTTACCTCCCAGGGAGTGTTTCACAACATCTGGAGACATTTCTCGGTTGTGGCATCTGGAGGGAGCGTGCTGGGATGTGGGAGACAGAGAGCCAGGCTGCTGCAGGACACAGCACAGGAGAGGCCCCCCGACAGAGCGCTCTCTGGCCCCAAATGTCAGCAGTGCCGCAGTTGAAAAACCCTAATGTACAACATATGCATAAAATAACATGAATTTTTATCTTATGAAATGCAAGGATTTTCATGCTATAGTGTTGAACAAAAAGATGTCACAGTGGGATGCATGTGTCATGCAGTATTTCTAACCACGGTCACTCTCGGGGCTCACTCAGTATCTATTGATCGAGCAGCTATTATGTCCTAGGGGGTCATCCCAGAGGCTGGAGGCAAAGCAAAGACAAGATAAGCATTCTATTTTGTCGGGGCTAAAATGAACAATAAAACAAGAAAATACAAAACAAGAAAATTCCAGGCTGCAGTCCACATTATAAACAAGTTTTATACATGAGTGTTGTCTGGAGTTTTTATAACAAAGTATTCAATTTCTAATAAATTTTTCATTTAACAAAGTTTTACTCCTCCATAGCTAATAGTCACCTGCCATGTCCCAGGAAGATGGGTATTTTTCTCTCTGAATCCTGCTGGGAGGAGGGTGTGCTGTTAGTCCTGGGTGCAGGGGGCCCTGAGCTCTCAGGCACAGTCACTCTCAGTGATGCCAACGACCTAGAAGAGGAAACAAATGCTGAGGGAGGTAGGGAGACTCGGTGGGCAGCTCGACTGGGCACACTGCACCGAGTGTGGCAGTGGGAGGTTGAGGCAGGGGGAACGGCAAGCGTGAGGCAGCGTTGGGACTGGCCTGGGGTGCTCAGAGAGCCTACACAGTGGACATGCGGATACAACAGAGCTGGGTGGTGGGGAATTTGGTCCAAGGGGTGGGTGGGTCAGTAGTGCAGGGGTGAAGACTTTATCCTGAGCCTAGCAGAAGCCCCTGGAACATGTCTGGAGAGTGATGGGCTGCAGACTCAGGGAGCATCTGGTCCTGAGATCTCCGGGGTCAGGGCCCAAAGACACTCTGGTTTGGGAAGAAAAGCTTTCATTTCAGTGACGTCAGCGGGGGAGGCATCCCCTTACCGCTCTGCCTGGTCCAGGGTACCTAGTTACATCACCTGCCAGGCCGCTGCAGGCCTTGGAGTTCTGACTCCTCGTGGGGTCCAATTCTCCTAGTTGTACGGAATGAGAAACTGAGGCCCAAGAAGCAGGCCACTTGTCCAGCTCTTCCCTAACTGACCTTGCTCCACAGCAGGGAGAGCCGTCTCCTTCCGTGGAGAGGGCGCCCTCACCAGGCCGACAGGAAAACAGAAGCGTGCGGCTGTTAAACTGCATGTATCACACCACCCCTAACCGGCTGACACCTTTTATGCACACTATTTCGTTCCATCCTCCTCGACTGCTCCTCTCCTTGTCTTCCCTCCATCCCCCCAGAACCATAAACAGCAGCGCAGGAAGCACACACCGAATACCCTGCCCTCTTCTTGGATTTTCTGGCTGAGATTCTCAGGGGACTAAGGTTGGAGAAGCTGAGTTTCGGGTCCTGGCACCCGGGGCAAAGGCCGAGCCGGAACCCCGAGGGCCCAGGCCGGGTCCCCGCGCCGCCCGCTCGCTGACCCCAGGCGGCCCGCTTCCCGTCCGAGCGTGGGGTCAGCGCGGACCGAGTCCAGGGCGGAGGGAAGCGGCTGGGGGCAGCGACGGGCCTGCGCACACCTGCGCCCCAGGCCTCGCACGTGCAGGGGGGAAGCTCGGGCACGCGGGGGTGGGAGCCCGCGGAGACCCTGGCCCTGGGAAGCGGCCCCCAGCGAGCGCGGACACTCACCTCGGCCAAAACGCCCGAGACGAGCGGCAGGACGAGACTGAGCGGCAGGACGAGACTGAACGTCCGGCGTCCACGCCACGTTCCCGCCGCGCGGACTACTCACTCGCAGGCGTCGCGAGAGGACAATGCGGCCGCGCTCCGCGGGGCTGGGCGCTGGGACTCGGCCGGGGGGCCCCGCCCACGGCCCGCCCACGGCCCGCCCACGAGCCCTGAGGCCACGCCCATCGCCGCCTCTCTCCAGAGCGCAGCCCCGCCCCCGATCTGTCTGGACCTCTCCTCGCGCTCGGCGTCCCGCCCCGGCATAAACCCCGCCCACACGCCCTTCGCCCCGCCCCTGCCCTGTCCCGGTCCCTCGGAGTCGGGCCCGGTGGCTCCGCGCCGCGGCGGCTGAAGGGATGGCAGTTCTGGGAAGGGGGGCCGCCGCGTGCGTCCGCCCCTCCCGCCGCGTCCGCCCCTAGGCCCACCCAGGGTCAGAACACTCAGCCGTAAAAAGGATGAACCATCGGGGTCCCAGCAGCCGGGGCGAATCTGCAGAGAATCACGCTGCATGAAAATCGCTAATCCTCGAGGGTTCCCCGGAACGATCACGTTTATGTAACATTCTTGAGATGAGATTCTAGAAGCGGAGAACAGGTTAGTGGTTGCCGGGTTTCTGGTGGGCGGATGTTATTCTAAGAGGGACCTTGTGCTGATGGGAATGTGCGGTGTGTGATCGTTCCGGCGGTGGCGTTGTTCTGTGGTCTGGCCCGACGTTCTTACTGGGCAGGCTGGGGGTGAAGGGCACACAGGCAGCTTCAAGGCCAAGGAGATCCCTGGAGGGCAGAGAGGCACCGAACTGGAGCCTGCAGACGTGTGGGGGAGGGCTGCTGGTGGGCACTTTGGGCCAATTGTCTCTCTCCCCTCTTCTCAGCACTTTCTGGCCTGCACCACCTCATTTGTAGACCCCCTGCCATTGGGACTCACTCGAGGACCCTCCCAAACTCTGCCTTGATTTCTGGTGTCCCGGGATGGCCCTTGGGGCTCTCCTGGTGGCTCAGATGGTAAAGAATCTGCTTGAAATGCAGGAGACCCAGGTTTGGTCCCTGGGTCGGGAAGATACTCTGGAGATGTTCATGGCAACCCACTCCAGGATGCTTACCTGGAGAATTCCATGGACAGAAGGTCCATGGGGTTGCAAAGAGTTGGACACCACTGAGCGACTAACTCTTTCACCTTTAGGATGGGCCTAGAGAGCGAAGGCTGGTTCCCCTTCGAGCATAACTTTCCTGATGCAAACAGCTGCAGCTGCGGTTCCCACATCAGCGTCTGGTTGGTCTGTCCGAGGCTGCTGTCTTTCTTGGGTTCATGGTGAGGACACGGCCTCTCTATGTGTGACATGCCCTTGTGCCAGCAGTGGACAGGCCACCTTGTCACGTTTTCATTTTAGAATAACCTTTAGCTGAGGGAAAAGTTGTAGAGGCATTTCCAAATGTACCAGAACGTCCTCAAAGGTGAGATGTGGTTTAGTTTTCTTCCCTCTTTCTTGTCTGACTGTGATGATGTCCGCAAATCATCTTTGAGTCACATGAAATGATTGCAACTAAGAAAGGCGGATGCAGGGACTCTGGGGTAACCTTCCAAGGAGGGTGACTGACGCTGTTGTCCCTTGGGAGGGGGGTTGTTCACGTCTTTGGTGCCCTGAGGTTGTGGTTGTTTATGCTGTCCTGTTCCATTCTTGCAACCTCATGAACTGTGTAGCCTGCCAGCCTCCTCTGGGATTTCCCAGGCAAGAATACTAGATTGGTTTGCCATTTCCTCCTCCAGGGGATCTTCCCAACCCAGGGATGGAACCTGCATCTCCCACTTGACAGGCAGATTTTTTTTACCACTGAGCCACCAGGATGCTGTGAGGACCAATGAGGAAGACAGCCAGACCTCCAGGTGGTGGGAAGACCCGGTGACCGTGGAGCCGCAGGCAACCAGCACGGGAGCCGTCTACTCCCTGGTGTGGGGGTGGAAGTGCTGGGCCGGAAGGGAGACCAAGGTGCGACCCCGCCTCTGAAAACTCAGGTGCGCGGAGCTTCTAGGTCCAGCCCCGCTTTGTTCCTAGTCCGCGACGCGGCAGCACCATATGGCGGCCGCGCGCGGGAATCGCAGGTGCGGAAGGGACGTCGCCCTTCGGGCAAGGTCAGCTAGCCGGCCCTCGCTTGGGTCTTCAGGATGGTGAAAGCGCCAGCGGTGGATTGGATAGGGGCCCGTCTGGCGAAGAGAAATATGATTCCCTGCTAATCTTGCATTTACTGCAAACAAGAGATTCCTACTGTGAGCCTAAGGAGGAGGCGGTGCTATTAAAATGATATATGTAGATACAGCATCAACAGCAAGCATGACCTCTAAGGGTCATGAGTGGAGTGTTCATTTCACCCCTTGCAGTGGAGAAACAGGCTTAGGCTTTCCAGCGGGGGAAGGCAGTTAAGCCAGCTGCATACTTCTTTCCCCCAGCTGCCCCTTGTTTTGTGTTTCAGATGAAAATTAATATCGAGGGTTACTTTAAGACTATCGAAGTAGCTTGAACGTTTTCCTAGAGTAGTAGTTCCTTTTGGTTTTATTTAATGGCTTTTCTTTCCTCTACGAACAGCATCCACCTTCTTTTGGGAAACAAACTTCCTGAGAACTCAGGTTGTGTTTATAAATATATTTATCCACCTCTCTCTCTGGCCGCATTGGGTCTTGGCTGGGCATGTGGGATCTAAGTCTCCCACCAGGGACCAAACCCTGGCCCCCTGCATTGGGAATGTGGAATCCTATCCCCTGATCACCAGGGAAGTCCGTCTAGTTAATCTTTTTTTTTTTTGGTGGTAAAATCTGTGTAACAAAAGATCTGTCATTTCAACCATTGTAAATGGCATTAATTATATTCAGTGGCATTAATTGCATTCATAATGTTATGCAATGTCACTATTTTTATTTCTGAAAATTTTTCGTCACCCCAAACAGAAACTCACTAATCTTTAAGCAGTAACTCCAAACTCCCCACTCCACCCAGGTTCTGTACTGATAATCTTTCTTCTTTCTATGAATTTGCCTATTCTAGATATTTCATACAAGTGGAATCATACAACAGGGGGCCTTTTGTGTCTGGGTTTCTTTGCTTAGCATAATGTTTTCAAGGTTCATCCATATCATAACATGTATCAGAACTTCATTCATTTTTACTGCTGAATAATATTCCATTTAATGCTTATACCACACTTTATCCTTTCATATGTTGTTTTAACCTTTCACAGGTGGATGGACACTTGGGTCATTTGGCTGTTGTGAATAATGCTGAAGTAATTGTTGGTGCACAAGTGTCTTGAGTCCCTTTTAAAAAATCTTTTGGGTGTGTACCAAGGAGTGAAATCGCTGCGTCATATAGTAACTGTTTTGCTTTTTAAGGAACTGCCAAACTGGTTTTCACAGTGGTTGCACTGTTTTGGAGTAGGAAATGGCAATCCACTCCAGTATTCTTGCCTGGAGAATTCTGTGGACTGGCTACAGTCCATGAAGCCGAAGAGTGAGACACGAGCCTGAGAGACTAACATGCCATGTCCACTGTTTTACATCCCGATTGATTGCTCTGCATTCTCGTCAGCATTTGTTATGTTGCTTTTTTTTTTTTTTAGTTATTGTTTTAGCTGTCCTAATGTTTTTCCTGATGTCTCATTTTGGTTTTGTTCTGCATTACTGCATTTCCCTGGTGACTAATGATGTTCAGAATCTTTTCTTGGGCTCACTGGCCATTTGTTTACCTTTGATGAAATAGCTATACAAATCCCTTGTCCATTATTTAATTGGGTTGTTTGTCTATTTGTTGTTGAATACTAGGAGTTCTTGATATAGTCTGGATATTATCAGATATATAATTTGCAAGTATTTTCTCCCATTCTGTAGGTTGCCTTTCACTTTTGGGGGGGGGGTCCTATTCCTCTAAAAGCAAATTTAACCAGAGTTTTTCTTGGTTCCCTCCTGTAGCTACTTCTAGCTTGCTGCTGAGTTCCCAAGGAAAAGACTTGGAAGATGGTTTGGAGGCATTGTCTTTGCTCAGAGAACAGGCTGGCTGGCTGAGTCTTTTCAGGTCTCTTTGGACATTTCAGGGTGAGCAGATGTCTTGAGGGTGTCCCTTGTCTCCCTTTGAAGATCATCCAAACCCTGAAATCTCAAGAAGCAATCTAGTGGCTTTCCTCAAATGTAGCTAGAAGACATTGACCCGGGCAGTTTTGTTAGGAAATTAGCTATTATGATGATTTCCTTACAAAACCCCTGGTTTCTGAGAACTTTTACTTCCTGTGGTATTTTGGGAAGACCTGCTGCTTGTCAAGAGGCATCGATCTTGATTCCTTAAAAGCTGTGGCTGGAATTCTAATGGCAACATGTAATGAACTGGCTTTTTCATTAATAAATTGTAAGTGGATAATGTCCCAACAAAATGGTAATCTAGAGACCAGATTCAAGTAAGAAACTCTGTGACTAAATAGGTTTTTGATGTTAAGTGGCCAGTCATGCCATGAATAATTGACTCATTAAAAAATGAGAATGCAGGCATCTCATATTTTCACTTATTTTAAATCATCGACTCAATGGACATGAGATTGAGCAAACTCCAGGAGATAGTAAAGGATAGGGAAGCCTGGCGTGCTGCAGTCCATGGGATCGCAAAAAGTGGGGCATGACTGAGCAACTGAACAATTCAGCAGTTAGTTGACAACCAAATACTGACAAATTCAACATGCTTTTTGAAATTACTTTTGCATGTACTTGGACCCAAGCAAATCTTAAACTCCCTGTTTCTACCCCAAACCAATCAGAGTGTTTTTACATCTGTGGGAATAGAGATATTAGGTTCTCACGGTACACAGTGATCTATGGTGGGAGAAAGTTTGATTAAAAATTAGAAGTAAAGGGCACTTTCAAGACTGTACCCCTGGAATTGCAAATATATTTAAGCAGAATTCTGTTCCATGACTTGTCTTACTACTTCGTGACTCCGTGATGAATGTTGGATGAGAGGATGTGAGTTGAGTAAGTCTCCGCTATTCAAGGACAAGCTAGAAGGGCACTTGATATTTCTGGGTAATGACCAGAAATAAGAAGAGTGTGGGGTCGTGCCGTTAGCACTAACATGGCGCTTACCTAGTGCTCGCGGTGCGCTGTGGTCTTTATGTGGATTAGCTGACTTAGTCCCAGCAGCAGTACCATAGGGCAGTTTTCTATTGTTAGTTCCATTTCACAGATGAGGAAACTGGGGCCCAAAGAGTCTAGTAAAAATGCAGAGCAGCCTGGCTCCAGAGCCCACCTTACACTCTGATAATGAATTAAAGATAAGTGTCCCCAGTGATAGGGCTGAAAGGGGGTGCAGGGATGTAGCAGGTTGTTCATTCCTCATAAGGTTAAAAAAAAGAACATAAGCCAAAACCACGTTCCCTATAACAGTAGAGTCTGTTTCTAAAGGAGCTGAGCATCGAAGGTGTGCTGAGACGTGCAGTTCTCTACCTGCTCAGCACTGCAGACAGCAGCAAACAGCAGCGAGAACCACAGGAAGATTTCCGCCACCTCGTAGGGGCTGGAGTAGCCTGTGACCCACGTGAACGTGACTCAGAGTAGTGAGTATGCAGCACTCCTGTGCCTGTGTGCATCGTGGTTGGCCCTTAATTCAAGCTTGGTTTCTGGTGCCTCTTACTTTCTTGATAATGTCCTTAGACACATATAGTGTTTCAGTTTTGATGAAATCCAATTTATCTATTTTTTTGTTTTTGTCTTGAATTTTGGTGTCATATCTAAGAGCCCATTGCCAAGTCCAAAGGTCCTGGACGTTTACTCCTATGTTTTCTTCTAAAAGTTTTATAGTTTAGTTCTTACATTTAGGTTTTTGATCAATTTTGAGTTATTTTTGTAAGGGGAGAACTTCATCCTTGAGTGTGGAAATCCAGTTGTCCAGGATCACCTACGGAGGAGAACATTCATCCCCCACTGAATGAAATCAGTTGACCATAGATGTTTTAGATGAGGTTTCATTTGTTTTCACAAAATGATCGTGTGTTTTTTCCTTCTTCTTCATACTATTCATTCGATGTGTGACTGTGATAGACTTTCTTACGTTGAGTCACCATTATATTCTTGAACTAAGTCTCTCTTGGTCATGATGCGTAATCCTTTTAATATCTTGTTGGATGCAATTTGCTAGTATCTTGCTGAGGCTTTTGCATCAATATTCATAAGGAATATTGTCCTATAATTTTATTTTCCCATGATGTCTATGTCTTGCTTTGGTATTGGCCTATGAGTTCACAAGTCCTCCCTTCTCTAATTTCTTGTAAAAATTTGAGAAGGGTTAGTGTGAGAATTCACCAATGGGCTACCTGGTCCTGGAATTTGTTGGGAGGTTTTCCTTTTCAAAAAAACTTAACATTAAAGTGAGATATTTGGTTTGTGGGGAGTCAGTGAGGGACCTGAGGAGTTAAGAATTATGTATAATTTAATTCAGGCCCATACTACCTCTTAATGATGTAACAGTTTCTTAATTTATTTCCTGCGATAGACTTTCCTATATTCTGGTCATTCCAAATATTATGGCAATTATGCTTTCTAAATTATTGCTTTTCCTTGTCACACAATACTCAAAAAGTGTGAATGTCTTCCTGTCGCTTGTAGAATTATTAATAATTTTTAAAACTTCATGAATTTTAAACTGATAACATTAATTTAAATTAATAATTTTAAAAGTGTAAATAATTGTAGAATTATTAATCATTTCAAAAAATTTTAGCATTCTACTCAATCTTCCTTTTGACTCTTTCTCACCTAAGCTCTAAATGAGCTGCTTCTTCTGCCCTTATGGGAACTGTGTTCCAGGGAGACTGGTTCATTCATTCTCACTTCTGTAACTACTTCTTTCTGGTTAAACCTGAAATAAGGAAGTGTTTAAGAGCAAAGCCCTACCAATTATAAGCCATGATCTGAGCAGTCTCAAGACTGCTCAAAATAAAATGTGTGTGCATTTTTAATTCATATTGGGCTTTTTAAATAAAGAGGCTTTAAGTGGAGACTCTTATGCTGATGTTACATGTTCTGCCTCAGTGCAAATGTACGTTGCCTGTGTTTTTCCTTAGTGACCTTAGGAACAGAAGATAAGGATCAGGCTCTGCTAATGCCTTTTGTTCCCAGGGAGAAGTGAAACACGTTCAGTGTAGTGTCTCCGACATTCATCTGATGGTGTGTCAGCAGTCTGAAAGTCCCGCTGGAGCCTCCTTCCTCTCCCTCCTTCCAGCGACCCCCGAGACTTGACCAGGTCACCCTCATCAGCCTCTCCTTGCAGGCCCCGTGCCCGAGGCACGGCCCTGCGCACCACCTGCTGCCTTTCCTCTGGAGCATCGCTGTGCGGATGCCCCGTGCCCAGGGAGGAAACCTCCGCCCCCACCCGCTGCGCTGCTGCTGTCACCTTCCTGACGCACCACCCCGCTGGGTGACCCCGGCACTCGGAATTCTCCGGGGACTCCTGCAGCCCGTCAGATAAAACACACACGTGTAGGCCCGACAGACGAGGCCCTTCGTGGACGTCCGGCGCGGACGGCCTCGTGTCTGTGGCCCGGCAGGAGTAACTTGTGTCTCCCCGGTCACGTGCGCGTTTCCGTCTTCCCGCCGCTCCCCGGTCACGTGCGCGTTTCCGTCTTCCCGCCGCTCCCCGGTCACGTGCGCGTTTCCGTCTTCCCGCCGCTCCCCGGTCACGTGCGCGTTTCCGTCTTCCCGCCGCTCCCCGGTCACGTGCGCGTTTCCGTCTTCCCGCCGCTCCCCGGTCACGTGCGCGTTTCCGTCTTCCCGCCGCTGCCCGGTCACGTGCGCGTGTCCGTCTTCCCGCCGCTCCCCGGTCACGTGCGCGTTTCCGTCTTCCCGCCGCTCCCCCGTCACGTGCGCGTGTCCGTCTTCCCGCCGCTCCCCCGTCACGTGCGCGTTTCCGTCTTCCCGCCGCTGCCCGGTCACGTGCGCGTTTCCGTCTTCCCGCCGCTCCCCGGTCACGTGCGCGTTTCCGTCTTCCCGCCGCTCCCTGGTCACGTGCGCGTTTCCGTCTTCCCGCCGCTGCCCGGTCACGTGCGCGTGTCCGTCTTCCCGCCGCTCCCCGGTCACGTGCGCGTTTCCGTCTTCCCGCCGCTCCCCCGTCACGTGCGCGTGTCCGTCTTCCCGCCGCTCCCCCGTCACGTGCGCGTTTCCGTCTTCCCGCCGCTGCCCGGTCACGTGCGCGTTTCCGTCTTCCCGCCGCTCCCCGGTCACGTGCGCGTTTCCGTCTTCCCGCCGCTCCCCCGTCACGTGCGCGTTTCCGTCTTCCCGCCGCTCCCCCGTCACGTGCGCGTGTCCGTCTTCCCGCCGCTCTCCGGTCACGTGCGCGTTTCCGTCTTCCCGCCGCTCCCGGTCACGTGCGCGTTTCCGTCTTCCCGCCGCTCCCCGGTCACGTGCGCGTTTCCGTCTTCCCGCCGCTCCCTGGTCACGTGCGCGTTTCCGTCTTCCCGCCGCTGCCCGGTCACGTGCGCGTGTCCGTCTTCCCGCCGCTCCCCGGTCACGTGCGCGTTTCCGTCTTCCCGCCGCTCCCCCGTCACGTGCGCGTGTCCGTCTTCCCGCCGCTCCCCCGTCACGTGCGCGTTTCCGTCTTCCCGCCGCTGCCCGGTCACGTGCGCGTTTCCGTCTTCCCGCCGCTCCCCGGTCACGTGCGCGTTTCCGTCTTCCCGCCGCTCCCCCGTCACGTGCGCGTTTCCGTCTTCCCGCCGCTCCCCCGTCACGTGCGCGTGTCCGTCTTCCCGCCGCTCTCCGGTCACGTGCGCGTTTCCGTCTTCCCGCCGCTCCCGGTCACGTGCGCGTTTCCGTCTTCCCGCCGCTCCCCGGTCACGTGCGCGTTTCCGTCTTCCCGCCGCTCCCCGGTCACGTGCGCGTTTCCGTCTTCCCGCCGCTCCCCCGTCACGTGCGCGTGTCCGTCTTCCCGCCGCTCCCCGGTCACGTGCGCGTGTCCGTCTTCCCGCCGCTCCCCGGTCACGTGCGCGTTTCCGTCTTCCCGTCGCTGGTCTGGAAGCCCCGCCTCCCGTGCTCTTCTGGGCTCCTCCCCCCTTCACATCTCCGCTGAGGGCCGTGGGTTTGGGACCCCCTCGCTGAGTCTCCAGCTAGGCTTCTTGCTGTGTCTACTCACACTGCCCCTCAAACGCAGCGTCATCACAGCACTGTGGTTTAGTTGCTAAGTCACACCGCGTCAAATGCCATTTATTTGCATGTCTGTGAGAGGAAAAACCTCAGTTCAGTCTTCCCCCAAATGGAGGAGAGCCCAGTTCGTCCCTCCCGGGCCTCTCTTCCTTATTCCTCACACAAAGCAGCTCCCTGCTGACTCTTCTGGTGACGAAACGTGTGGGAGGCTTTCCCATTCCAGTCAGTTCTCACGACACCAGCTGGACATCCTCGTTTAAGTCGATCGCGATGCTTCGTACCTGGAGACAGGGTCAGATGCCAGAGGCTAAGGGCTCAGTCCCACAAGGCCGCTCCCTGTCCCACAAGTGCCAGCCTGTCGCAGATGACCCAGAACTTCTGTCCGATATGACGACAAATCAGAGGTTCCCACGACCCCCTTCTCAGGTTTGATTAACTTGCTAGAATGGCTCCTAGAGCTCAGTGAAAGGCTTACTCATCTTTACCCATTGACTAAAGGATGTGATAAAGGACACTCATAAAGACCCACCCAGGGCGACGCCTGGGGGGGTCCTGAGAGTCTCTGTCCCCGTGGACTTAGGGTGCGACCCCTCCCCGTGTGGATGTGTCCGCCCACCTGGAATTTCTCCAGGCCCCACACTATTCGGATTTTAGGTACAGAGGCTCGATCAATTATTAACTCCATTTTCAGACCTTCTCCCTTCTCAAGAGAATGGAGGGGTGAGGCTGAAGTTTTCAAGCTTTTCATCACGGCTTGGTCTTTCTGCGGAGCAGCCCTCATACAGGAGCTCCACCCAGAGTCATCTCATGAGAACCGAAGACACTCCCATCACCCAGGAAAGTACACGGGTTTCAGGAGCTCCGTGTCAGCATATGGGGTCAGAGACCAAATTCTAGAACAAAAGACACTCCCAGTTTCTTATCACTTAGAAATTACCAGGGTTTCAGGGACTTTGTGCCAGGGGCTGGTGGCAGACATGAATCACATTTTTTCCTACTATCTCACAATATCTATCTGGTATCCTGAGGCCGGGACTGTGTCTCCTACCATGATGTCCCCAGTGCAGCTCCTGGCCTGCAGGAGGTGCTCGGTAGCGGGCTGTGGAAGAGGGCCTTCCCTGGGGGTCCAGTGGTGAAGAATCTGCCTTCCAATGCAGAGGACGCACGTTCAATCCCTGGCTGAGGAACTAAGATCCCACACACCTCAGGGGCAGCCCTGCACACAGCAACGAAGACTCCATGCGGCTGAGTAAATAAATAAGTGAAATGAAAAAGAATACAAGAGAAGTTCTGTAAGTTATACATTAAAAAAAAAAAAAGTCTGTGGGATGAATGAAATAATCATCTCACCGGCTGGTGGTGTCACCGGTGTTCATGAATTCTGGGTGTTCAGGTAAAAAGGCGTTAAAGCTGATGCGCAATCATCACGTCATCTGAGAATGCTCTGCAGCGGAGCCCCAGGCTTGGCCGGCCGCGTGGCCCAGACGGCTCACAGGAGGAGCCGTCCCAGGTCCTCGCGCAGGTCTCACGTTGCCTTTGGCGTCAGGGGGGCTCTGGAAGGGGGCGCAATGTGTGCGCTGCAGGGACTTGGAGGGGAGGGGCGGGCGGCCCAGAGGCGGAAGGCAGAGCACTTCCCTCCCCCGTTGCGCTGTCCCCTCCTGATGAGGGGCTGGCGGGTGGGCGACCTAGGGCAGAGGGACACCTAGAATGTGCTGAAACTGCTTGCTTTCTTTAGAAAGAAGGAAAATGCTCTGAGCACCCTCCCCAAGCAGGAGTAAGGAAAAAGGCGTATCTCGCGTCCCCTTTGGCTTTCGTGCGGAGGCCTGGGCAGCGTGTGACGGGAAACCCTAGGCAACGCGCCAGGGGACCAGCAGGGGGCGCTCTCGCCCTGCAGCCCCCGCGGAGCCCCACCGGGGACGGGAGAGTCCCCTTCCCTCCCGCCCGGACTCGGCCCAGGCTCTGCGCACCACGCCCGCCCCGGCCCGGGGCCCCTCTCTGGAAGCTGATCCTTCCCTTGCCGGTGGGGACTTGCCTGTGGCCGCCGAGGCAGAGAGCCGTAACTGCAATTCCCTGCTGACCCCGAATTGAATAAACCCAACTTTGCTGCAGAAATACCCGCGGTCTGTTTCCTTCAGGCTTGCATTTTGGAATGTAACCTCCGGCCCTTCGTGGGAAACCCAGCACGTCTTCAAGGCCATCCCGCTCCCGGAACACTAGGCCTGGCACCCTCCTAAACCTCCAAGGCCATGCCCTGCAGAGCAGGTCCCGTTTCAGGCCCCATCCCCCAGGGCACCACCCGCCAGGACGGCAGCAGCTGAGCGGTCTTGGCGCGACCCAGGCAGGACAGACTGGTGGAAATCGGCCTCGAAACAGCTGAGCCCTGCTTGCCACAGGTTTTGTTTGTTCCGTTTTGCCAGCTTCGTTGACACAGGGTCCACTGAGGACGGTTCTGATCAAGCCACTCGGTCTCTCTTCGCATTTGAGGAGGCAGTTCTTGGAGTTTCTCACGAAGATTGACCCAGCTCCCTTCCGTGACGCTGCGTGGTGGCGGGCCCCGTCCGGGACAGCAGGCCCTGGCTCGCCTTGCTCTTCGTTTCTTGTGACGTGAGTCACCCAGGTGATGCCAGAGAAAGTGAGTGTCTCTAGATGAGAAAAGGAAAGAGAAAAAAGTAAGGGTGGGGGAACTTCTATTCAGTTAGTTCACTATTTCTTAAAATTTTATGACCAGCAATGTTAAAAAATCTTGCGTAACAAGATTCCCTTAATTTAACTCAGATTTTAAGTGAGAGCATAACTGCAAAATAAATAACAACAGATGGTGATTGCAGCCATGAAATTAAAAGACGCTTACTCCTTGGAAGGAAAGTTATGACCAATCTAGACAGCATATTAAAAAGTAGAGACATTACTTTGCCAACAAAGGTCCACCTTGTCAAGGCTATGGTTTTTTCAGTGGTCATGTATGGATGTGAGAGTTGGACTGTGAAGAAAGCTGAGCGCCAAAAAATTGGTGCTTTTGAACTGTGGTGTTGGAGAAGACGCTTGAGAGTCCCTTGGACTGCAAGGACATCCAAGCAGTCCATCCTAAAGGAGGTCAGTCCTGGGTATTCATCAGAAGGGCTGACGTTGAAGCTGAAACTCCAATACTTTGGCCACCTGATGCAAAGAGCTGACTCATTAGAAAAGACCCTGATGCTGGGAAAGATTGAGGGCAGGAGGAGAAGGCGACGACAGAGGATGTGATGGTTGGATGGCATCATCAACTCGATGGACATGGGTTTGGGTGGACTCCGGGAGTTGGTGATGGACAGGGAGGCCTGGCGTGCTACAGTCCACGGGGTCGCAGAGCCGGACACGACTGAGTGACTCTCGCGCTCACCCTGCCGTGGCCCCAGCTTCTGTCCTCAGCTATGGCTCTGACACACAGACGCGGCTGGGCCGCTGAGTCCCGCATGCGGCTCCCAGCACCTACGTCCCATATCCTGCTCTGTTCCTACTTGTCTCCTGGACACCTTCACCTAATGCTCCTCAGACAACATGAGTCCTCTTGGACAGGAGAGGCGCGCTTGATCCCTGGGTCAGGAAGTTCCGCTGGTGCAGGAAATGAAAGTCCTGTGAGTGGATTTTTCAGTCCATGGTGGGCTACAGTCCATGGTGTCTCAAGGAAGCTGACACAACTGATGACTAAGCACAGCGATTCTCCACTAGACCCCTGACGCTCCCCTTCCACGTAGGCTCCTCTCAGTTAATACGTCACAATGAGCACAGTTACTTGAGGTAGATGAGTAAGTGGCACCGTCATCTCCAGTCCTTCCCTGGCCCTTGCCCCCAGTCCACCTGGTCCTCACATCCTGTGATGCCCGCCGTCTCATCAGCTCTGGGCAGCACCTCGTCACTGCGGCACTGCCCAGGCTTAGGCCCACCTGGCTGTGCCCTGGTCCCCAGAGCTGCGTCCTCAGGGCCCCTGGGGCCTGTCCCCCTGCACCCAGTCCCTCCACAGGGCCGGCGCTGGAGTCAGAAAGGACACGGGAGGGAGGGAGGGAGGAAACGGATGAAAGCAGGAATCATGTCACTCGTCCAGTCTGAATCTCACAATGGTTCCCCATGCTGTGGTTCAGCACTCAGTCGTGTCCGAATATTTGCGACCCCGTGGACTGCAGCCTGCCAGGATTCCCTGTCCATCATCATCTCCCGGAGCTTGCTCAAACTCATGTCCATGGAGTCAGTGATGCCATCCAACCATCACATCCTCTGTCATCACCTTCTCCTCCTGTGTGCAATCTTTCCCAGCATCAGGGTCTTTTCCAATGAGTCAGTTCTTCACATCTCATGACTAACGTATTAGAGTTTCAGCTTCAGCATCAGTCCTTCCAATGAACACTCAGGACTGATTTCCTTTGGGATGGACTTGTTGAAACCTTAGCCACCTCTTTTTCTCCAGTACCAGCGGCAGGATGGAAGGTCACCTGGCATGCATCCATGACGTGGTCTGAATGTCTCCTTCTCCTGAACAGGAGCTGTCTGCTCATCGCTGACCCCTGGGGACAACTGAACATGCTCAGGGAGTGTGGACAGTCAAACACTTGAAGAGTCCTCTGACCACAGACCCTCCAATGCAGACACGGTGGCTCGGGGACAGACTTCTCCTGGTCAGGTTCCACGACCTCCCCTCTTCTGCTGGTTTCTGGAGGGCTCAGGTTCGGGGGTCTCTGAGGCCTGCTCCCCCTCCCTGCGGCTGCTGTAGCCTCTGCTTCGCTCTGTTCTCAGGAGCAGGGCCACTGTGCAGAGAAGACAGGGAAGGTCCGCTCATCCTTCCAGGCCCGGTGCAGACAGCGCTCTCCCCGAAGGCCTGGACGGGGCGGGCGGAGGGCGGACCCAGAGAGCAGGCAGCCAGTGCTCCCCGCCGGCGAGACCACCGAGTGCGAGCGCCCGCCTCCGATGGCAGCTGCAGCTCCAAGAAGGCGCGGGACATGAGCGCACATGGGCACACAAACACACACACACACAGGCGGTCTACATCAGCCCTTTATTTGTGGACCTTCGCCAAGGTCACTGGGGTTTCACCTCTTCCAGATATCAGGGAAAGTGGTGAGGAGCACCGGGGCGCGTCCACCACGCCATCATGGCGAGCAGAAGCGGCTGCAGAACAGGATGGCCCCTGTCTTGCCGTGATGGATGAAGAAGAGGAAGGGCCGGTCGGCATGGAGCCGGGGCACGACCTTCAGGCATTTCAGGGTGATCCTGGCCTCTGTGGCAGCCGTGGCCTCTGTGCCCTCCTCAGTGACCTCCACGAAGGACTTGTGCACGACTTTGGACAGGTGCAGGCCTCGCCCGGACGACATCCCGGTGAAGTTGGCCAGGGCCGCGTCGAAGGGTTGGTCATGCCCAGGTCTCGGAAGACGCCCTCCATGTCGTAACTCTCCTCCAACGTGAATCGGGGCACCAACAGCTCCACCTCCTCCTCGGCCAGCACATCCGGCTTCATCCACGCGACAGATTTCTCGTAGGTTAGGGCCTTCTCCACCTGCAGGGGAAGGTAGAAGGTCTCAGGGTCTGCAGCAGCGCTGCCCTGGGGACCATCCCCTGTGACCCACACTCTGCGCCCTGCGGGCCCGGGGTGGCCTCCCGGCTGCACAGGAGTTCCTGAAGCCCAGTGACCGGCAGGGATCCGGACAAGACCCCGGACCCCAGGACCAAGGATGCCCGGTTACTGTGTTCAAGTCAGCGCTTTCACTGGGCAGCAGGATGACCATGTTCATCTCTTGGCCAACATAGGGAAGCACCAGAATCTGGCTGCAGATTTCTGCAATGTACATCGTTTTAAAGATGGACATGTTGTACATCATTGGCACAGTTATCTGCAGGTTCTGTAAAGGAAATGGATAAACCGTAAGTGGAAACGAGACGTGTGGACACTCTGGACGAGTCATCAGAGCCGGCCACCTGCGCACACACACTCTTGTCTTGTCTTCCAGACCCACCCCAGCTCTGCGTCATCAGCTGTCTGCACGGCTCCAGCTCCCACCCCCGGGTTCCCAGCGCTCAGGCCTCAGGCTTCTGTTCTCCTGCTGACCCAGGAGGGCTCACATGGACATTCCCAGCAGGACCTCTCCCCGGCTCCTGCCTACCTGACATCTACATCTGGACGCAAAGGAGCCGCCATGTCGGCTCCCACACTGGCGGCTCGTATTCCCCCCCATACCTGCTCCATCTATACTTTCCCTTCCCTGCTCATGGCAACACCACTCATCCCGCAGTCAAACCCTGGAGTGTCCTGGCCCCTGTCCCTCCCACCCTACAGCTCACCCATGAACAAACCATGTTGGCTCTATTTTAAAGACAACAGGGCTTCCCTGATGGCTCAGGGGTAAATAATCTGCCTTCCAATGCAGGAGACACAGGCTCCATCCCTGGTCTGGGAAGACCCCACAGCCCAGGGGCTTCTAAGCCCTCAGGCCACAGCTACTGAGCCTGGGCTGAGAGCCCGGGACCGCAGCTCCTGAGGTCACGGGCCTGGAGCCCGAGCTCAGCACCAAGAGAGGCGCCAGCAGGAGGAGCCCGAGCACGGAGCCCAGAGGGCCTCCGCCACGGCAGCTGCAGGAGAGGCTGCGGCCAGGGGACCCGGCACGGCCGCAAATAAACACATGCAATTAATGAAACATACAATACATTCTGATTTGTGCTTCCTACCCCTCCACGCTCAGCCCAGCCTGGGTCATCAGGAAAACTTCTGAGTAACCTCCCTGGTCCTTCACCCGGGCCCGAGGGGCTCTGGGAGATCAGAGCCCCTGTGAGAGGCCCCGGGCTCTGCGAGAGCTCAGAGGAGGGACACAGGAGCCAGGAACCCGGGCTGGGGAGACCGCTAGGGAGGCTTCGGGACGGCCCTGCAGAGAAAGGCGTCTGTGCTGGTAACTGCTGACGGGATGGGGCGGACAGTAGGATCCAGCCCACGGAGCTTCATAGCCATGGTCTCGAGTTTGGCCTGGATCTCGGGAGTTCTAGGAGGCCCAGAGACCTGTGAGCTGCTCTGTGGGATGTGTGATACAAGACGGAACACCCGCGGCACGGATCCCCCGATGATACAACAGAGCAGGAGCGGGGGGAGGAAGCCAGGGTTTGCCCGGATCCACCTCTGGGCCGCCACGGCCACGAGAGGCACGGGTCCTTGAGGTCAGCCTGCTCGCACGCTCCGTAAATGAAGGGGACCCCAGGGTCCGTTTCCAAGATCCTCCTTCGCTTTATAAAACATTCTTGTTCACCTTCGTGATGTGGAATGGCCTTTCCACGGTGTGCCCTTTGGGAAACTTTTTAGCCCAGTCTCCTTTGAAGTAGATGGCATTCACGAGAACCAGACGTGTCAGGGAGTCAACTGAATTTGCAGCGAGCAAGTCTCTAATTTTACCTGCAAAGCAGAATTAAAGAGCCAGTGAGCGAGCAGGGTTTCCTGGGGGAGGTGCTGGGCACAGTTATTTACTGGCCCGTCCCCTGGAGGAGTCAGGCACTGACCAGAGGGCTCACTGTCCCCCAGACAAGCATGGACAGCGAGCTGTCTGCTCACTCGCTAAGCTGTGTCCGACTCTCTGTGACCCCATGGGCTGCAGCCCACCAGGCTCCTGCGTCCATCGGATTCCCCAGGCAAGTATACTGGCCCAGGTTGCTATTTCCTCCTCCAGAGCATCTTTCTGACCCAGGGATCGAACCCACCTCTCCTGCATTGGCAGGTGGATTCTTTACCATCGGACCCACCAGGGAAACCCGTACAGGCAGCCTGGCCCGTAAACAAAATCAGCGACCAAAACCTTAAAATCTCTGCTCAGAAAGAACCCAAGAGTTGCATAAAACACATAAAATGAACAAAAAATAAGGGCAGGATAATTCACAGTGACAGAAAAGGAATGTTCTGTCTACAACGTGAGGGGACTGTCCTGAAGGGGAGAGGTCGAAGCCAGTGTGGAGAGGACGAGAACGAAGAACCGCCGGTGGACCGGGGCTTGACCGAGTCTCCTGCAGTGATGCTCAGCGACCCACAGAGCATGAGCTCCGCTGGACAGGCAGGGGGGTGGAGCCCGCATCCAGAGTTTCCCTTCTGCCCTTTGTGAAAAGGCAGACTATATGAACATTAACTGCACCAGCAAAAAATCAAAGTGTGTTTGCTCTGGAAGAGGTGCACCAAATACTGATGCTGCTGCTAAGTCGCTTCAGTCGTGTCCAACTCTGTGAGACCCCATAGACGGCAGACCACCAGGCTCCCCTGTTCCTGGGATTCACCAGGCAAGAACACTGGAGTGGGTTGCCATTTCCTTCTCCAGTGCATGCAAGTGAAAAGTGAAAGTGGTCGTTCAGTCGTGTCCGACTTTTATTGACCCCGTAGACTGCAGCCTACCAGGCTCCTCCGTCCATGGGATTTTCCAGGCAAGAGTACTGGAGTGGGTGCCAGTGCCTTGTCCGAAATACTGATGAGGAGGGGGGAAAGCTAGAGAAATTGATTACTAATTATATTTCAGGAGTGGATTTTGAAAGTTTACAGTTCTTTACAGAAAAAAACCATACCTGTTTACATTTGATGGTCTTGGGAAGGAACTGATGGATAATAAGACTGATTCAAATACTATGCAAACAGAAGTACTGACATGTTCTCACCTTCTGTCTTTTGGGCTACCCAAGTGTTTATGTGCTTCATGGATTCCTTCATAGAACTGCAAAGTCCAGGTTTTCCATCTCTGCTTGGTAGAATATGCGGGAGGCATCTTTGAAAGACTAGGAGAGACGGAGTGACAGAATCACATGGCTACAGAAACAGACCACGCCAACAGCTTACTTCTTCACGGTGCCAAACCTCAACACTGATCATTTGATGGTTTCTTGTGGAATGTACAAACAATGTGAGGAATTAACCTTCAATCCGGTTTCTCAGTTTTCAGCTACGTTGAATAAATGAGAGTAAAATCACAGGCTTCCCAGGTGGCACAGTGGTAAAGAATCCGCCTGCCAGTGTTGGACATCTGGGTTTGATCTCTGCATCGGGAAGATCCCCTGGAGAAGGAAATGGCAACACACTCCAGTATTCTTGCCTGGAGAATCCCATGGACAGAGGAGCCTGGTGGGCTACAGCGCATGGGGTCGCAAAGAGTCAGACACAACTTAGCGACTAAACCACAGCAACCCAACCATTCGAGAGAGGCCATGTGGCAACAGTGCCGGCAGCACAGGTTCCGGGCGTCACCCCTGTGTGACCCTGGGAAGGCTGCTGCGTCTCTCTGGCTTCTTTGCCCCCTGGCAGCACGGATGCAGCAGTAGCTACGTCTCAGAGGTGCTCTGAGGACCAGGAGAGCCTGGCTCTGTCCGTGTCATGTGGCTGAGCTCTCCGCACACCGTGGACCCTCTATCTCGTGGTCCAGGTGCCTCATTTCATAGAACGCTCACATCATTCAGGCTCTGCCAGCCTACTGCTCCACTTCTTGATCGGGGCTTTGGAAAAAGATGGCAGTCTCTCAGTCTAAGGAAATAGTGAGGAAGCAAAGTGGTCACCAGCAAATCGATACCTCATCAGACCCTTGGTGATTTCAAGAGCTTTTAAGCACATCTGAAAAGAAGTGCCCGCTCCTTAAATTACTATTTAGTAAGTAATGACCAGTCAAAACACAAACTAAAGGAATATCTAATTATACACTGCAATTGGTATTGGATTGTTGGAATCCTCAATCACTGTGAAATAACCAACAAATATTTCTCATCTTTTGATTTTACACTCCATATCAAAATAACATTTAAATATCAATGCTTTTCTTCAAATATCCACCAGAAAGAAAAGAAGTGAAGGAAAATTAGCCAATTCTTTGTGTTTATTGGAAGTTTTGCTTTTCTGTATATCTAAGGCTCATACAAAGATGACCCTAAACTAGCAAGTAGCTAAGACTGATAAAAACAAGTAAACCTGGTTGTAAGAAAAACGCACACCGTGCTGCAAAGCCTTACAGATGGTTGGGTGGCATCACCAACTCAACGGACATGAGTCTGAGCAAACTCTGGGACACAGTAGGTGACAGAGGAGCCTGGCCTGCTGCAGTCCACAGGGTCAGAAAGACTCAGACACGGCTCAGCGACTGAACAACAACAGACACACATGTCGTGTGTCTTTATGCACAGGGGACAAGCCCTTATACTGGGCGTGGGAGGGCAGGGCATGGAAGAGAGTTTGGCAGGACTCTGGATTTGTCTGCATTTTTATATAATAAGAACGCACTCACAGATTACTTGAGCTGTGTATGAAAGAAATTTAAAAATCATGAAAGCACTGCAATTAGATTGAATCAGAGTAAAGAAGACAAAAACTTAAAAAAAAAAAATTCCGCCCAGGAAAAGATAATCAAATTATTTACATGTGTGAAAAAAATTGAACAAGTCTCACAATGCGGAAAACTTCCATCGTGTGAAAAACATCAGAAACATTCTATTGACCACTTCTTTGTTTGGGCCAACTCATCTGCAACTGTGGTGTGATCCGTGTTAGTTCTCTGACAATCATCTCATGGAAGCTTCACGAACATGTGAACAGTGCCTCCTCTTACAGGCAATGACCGAACGGATCCAGGAAGCGTGAGGTCATGACTGGAGTCCCACACCCCGCCCACCGTGTGGGTCTCAGCCCATAGGGCCGCAGCTGCACAAGGCCCAGCTCCCGCCTCCACCCGACCTCGGTCTCTATCTGCTTTGGAAAACGGGAGTATGACTTACCGAGAGGAAATCGTAAGTCTTCTCTCCAAAGAGCCTGTTGGCGGTTCTGAGCAAGTACTGTGTGCCGGTGCTATTAACTTCACAGAGAAGTTTCTGGAAACTCTGGTAGACATCTACACCTCCGCAACCTCTAGTTCTTAGAGAAAGGGTCTGAAATAAAAAAACAGATAAAAACACACAAGTGCAGTACGCCCTGACTACAGGAAATGGACACCACCCTGAAGTCAGCCTAGGAACCGCACTGACCCTCCCCACAGCTTAAAGCAAGACTCACCCCAATAAAGGCACAAGGCCTCTGAGAGCCCCCCAGCCTGCCTGCCGCGGGGGTCAGACAGCGACGGCGGGTGCAGAAGTGCCCCTCGGCGAGCCCAGTGCCCTGCGCTCGCGGTCTGCCTGCAGACAGGGCTGGTGGACAGACCTTGGTCTCTGCACAAACAGGCCACGGCTTCGGGTCTGGACTGGCGTCGGGACGGGCTCCGACCGGTGGACACAGGAGAAGTGGCTCTTCCGGGCCCTGGCCTTCGTAAAGGCCTGGCAACTCCACGTTCCCTGTCTTGCCCCTTTGCCAGGGTGCAGAAACGCCGAGCCATCCTGCTGGGGCCTCGTGACAATGCGGTAGGGCGGTCACACAGAGGAGAGCTCCTCGCGGGATCGGGGCTGCTCCTGTATCACGAGGAGCCCAGTGGGCACCGTGCGGCCAGGACGCAGAGTCTGAGGCCCGGTCCCGGTCTTTCCTGGTCGTGGGTGGTTTGACGGGGTCACAGAGAGAAGGTCCAGACAGTTGAGGAAGGAGGACAAGGGGACACCACTGCTGGAGGAGAGGAGATTGGGCGGGAGCCCTGGAGAGACGCCCCGTCCAGGGTGGGAAGGCCAGCCCTCCCCCCGAATTGGAATTTACACATGAGGTGCCCAGAGAGAGGGCAGTCACTTCAGAGCCTGGAGAGCGGGAGGGGAGTCAGTGATGAGCTCAAGAGGCAACTGCTCCCTTTTCAGGCAGAACTTAAAGGGAACACGTGCGTCTCCCAGGTGGTGCAGTGGTGAATGATCCACCTGCTGGTGCAGGAGACTCAAGACTCGCGGGTTCAATCCCTGGGTCGGGAAGATCCCCTGGAGGAGGACATGGCAACCCACACCAGTGTTCTCTCTGGAGAATCCCATGGACAGATGAGCATGGAGGGCCAGAGTCCACGGGTCACAAAGCGCCAGACACGACTGAGCGTGAGCACCCCCGTTATTTGCGTCCTAACACTTGCAGGGTGGAGAGTGCAAATGCTTCTCACTCCCAGCCTCTCCAGCTGGCAGAGGACCCTGAAAGTGATGGCCTTAGGGCAGAGGTGAAACTCAAGGCCCAGGCTCAAGGAGGGAGATCAAGACCCTGGTAAACCTGGAGACCCTCTGGACCCCAGGCCCGGGGAGGGGTACGGGCACCCCCATGAGGGAGGGCTGTGACCCCCACGGGGACAGAGGTCAGCGCCCCGCCGCCACTGTGGCCCAGGAGCTGACGTCCACCCCCTGTGCAGCCCGTCCGGGGCTGGCTCCGGGCTTCTCGGCAGGACGGGCCTCGGCCAGCAGGGCCTTGGGCTGCGGGTCCGAGCAGAGGCTCGATGAATGCTTGCTCATTCAAGCCTGTCCTGCTGGAATCGGGTGCTGTGCAGTCAGGAGCCCCAG